TAACACCAATCCAAAAAATAAGTCTAAGCCAGTCAAACTCAGTTTGAATACAGTGCCAACTAATGAGGTCAAGTTCAGCTGATTTGGCAGAGATACTTTGCATGTTCCCATGACCACGCACCCCCTTTAACCACAAGCTGTCATTTCAAATATGTGATCATCACCCTAAGACTAATAGAACAAGACAAACCAATAGAAGTTTTAGGTTCACATAAAAAGGAGGCATGCGACATTATGATGCACAACAGCAGACTGATAACGTTAGTAGCTACATCTCCTCAAAAACTAGTTTACTGATCCCTCACTTTTGCAGATTAGACCAACCTTAATTCCCTAACAGGGCTGTGAAATGGAAAGGCAGAAAACAGTCATCTCAATCCAGTGTTTTAAAGAGTTTGTTGACTGTATCAGGGCTACAATTATTCAATAACTCAAAAGCTAGAACATTATAAATCCCACCAAAGCAGAGTTAAGGCAGAATCCTGATAATTGGCAGAGAAGGCATTTAATCTTTTTGGGAAGGATTTGTATTTAAGTAAAACCATCTTTTTAAAAACTTGAAATGATTTCAACTTTAAAAAAAATTTTTCTCCCCCCCCCTTCTTTTTCTAAGTAAAACTTCCTGTAATTTTCCTCTTCATATGAACTTTACAAAAGGGACTAAAAATTCTGGTCCAGTAAGATATTTATAAGTAGTAAAAACAAACACAAATGAAACGATTGAGTTTTCACAACATTACTGAATTATACATACATATGTATTTTAAAATTAATTATTTTTTAAAAAATTCTGCCCAATTCTTGGCTCTCTACAAGAAATACCTATTTTCTTCCATGTTAGCAGACAGTACTGCCATTAGGGCCAAACAGAAGGGCCCTTTCTATTCCATTCAGAAAACAGTCCCTCAGCTGAAAGCAACAGTTTGATGGGGCAGCTCTTCACAGAGGGGTTTCTACCCCCACCTCATCCGAAGCCTCCCTCACAGACAGTCCACAGGGCCTGACAGCATTTTGCTGAATTTTTTCTAAGTCGGCACATCTTTCTGCCTCTATACTTTACTCAACTACTTACTTTCCTCTGGACACACTTAACTGAGAATTCTGGATCAACATTATCAAATAAACTGCCCAAAGGCTATGAAGTGATTTGCTCAAGACAACCTTAGGCATTTGAAGGCTAAACCTTAGGCATTTTCAATAGCACTACAAAACTGTCCTTTCTATGTGGCAAATGAAGAGGAAAAGCAAATCACTTCTTCCATGTGATATTCACAAAATACACCAAGGAAACATGAAAAAAATCGAGCATTTCAACCTATATTTTGTTGAGGTTTCTGTGAAAAATTCTAAATTGCTGACATCTAAGTTCAATGTTGCAAGAGGACTTTATACAAGAACGGTTATATAAGACATTAAATTGGCAAAGCTGGTATGTAACCACCAATGTTCTCAGATCAGTGTGAAACCAGACGCTTTTCGTGAGAACTTATCTGCCTACAGCACACAAACATATATAAGGCCTCAAAACTGCTGTAGTTACACACTGGTCAGAATATTTAGCAATCAGTTACGGTCTGTTTTCAACCCCCAAATGTACAGCTGAAGAATACTAAAAACGGACAGTTGAGGAGAAAGGGAGCTGTGATCCAAGTGGACCTTTAGAGTGTGTGCAATGCTTTAAATTCTTGGTCTCACGGGTAGTCACTTGGGAGTCTGCACTGTGATCCTCTGTGGAAATAGACACACACTGTATTGCAGGTGCTTTTCTAATACATGATATAAATGAGAGGGAACCCATCTAACGTTACCCAAGGCAACAGCTTTCAGGCACTTACGCTGTTCTTATCCAAACTGTAGAGAAATTTAGAGCTTCAGACTACATAATGAAAATCAGTATGGGGCAGTTTTGTGGGAGTCACAAAATGCTCTGCTTAAAGGCCAGAAGTTAAGGGCTCAACAAAATCCTCTTAAAAGACCTAGCCTAACTCCTTCATTTAAAGGAAAGAAAGCTAAAGGTCAGATAACTTAACTTCCAAGGACTCCAAAGGTCCCCCAGCCGGGCCCACTTCCGTCGCCTACCACCTAAACAGCAGCAGGAACTCTAATACAGTACAATACGTGGTGGGTAGCAGTATACAAGAGTATGAGCAAAGCTGACAAAAAAGTTGGCATTATCTAGCCACACAAAAATTTCTACATACACATTTTGGCTCCCTAGGCTTTAGGAGCGGAGATCAGCATTCATCCTTTTAAAACTCCAACACTGCAGGGAGAAAGAAGGTGGAATGGGCTCTTTGGAATCCATTTTCCACCAGAATGTCTTCTTGGACTGTAGTGTTTCAGAGTCCTTCCTGTTCTAGGGGCACTCTGTACCCTGGCACCAACAGCCAGCATTTACCTGCCTGATTACCGACCACATAGCTGGGACAAGCTCTTAAAAAACTGTCCTTTTAAGTTGCTGGATTCTGAATTCCTTTCAATTACAACTCTGAAGGGCCCAGAGCGCTTCCCGTCTTCCTATTTTCCTCCTAATGCTTTTTAAAGCCTGGAGTTAAGGCGCAAATAATGATCCCCAGGTGGAAAATGCTCCACCTTACCAGGTTAGTGCAGGCGCTGGCGGCAAACTGCAGGCCACGTTTAGGCCGCACTGTTGAAACACTCCTTGCAGCAGGGACCCTCCCTAGATATCCCTCCCAATCGAGCTCCTACCCCGGGGCTTTCTTTCCAAGTCCACTAAGCGCCTCCTTCCCTGTCGGCTTAACCTAGACAAATAAATGGGCGAGAAGACTGCCTAAGCCTAAGCATAATTCAAATGCCGACTCGGGCCTTTTGTTTCTCCTAGGTCAAAGAGCCCAGAAATTTCTTTCGGTAGAGGCCGCAATCCGGGCAATTCTTAATGTACAACAGATCTCCCTCGGCGTTGCCTGAAAAATTACCCTGAGAAGCTACTTAATTGCTTTTGGGGCGGGAAGGAAATGTGATTAAAAGTAAAAACGAGGAACTCTCAGCAACAACCGACTGGGGTGGGGGGGGTTCTCAAGGTGGGAGCTCAAGCCGTATAAAGCCCAGTCGGCCAGAAGTTCAGGTTGGGGCTGGACCTCTCCAAAGGGGCAGTTAGGCAGCACCGGACGCCCTCGGCAACCTGGCCTTAAGGATGACGGGGCTCTCGCTCATAGGTCGGCGCCCCTCGGCTCAAATCCTCTCTGCGTTTTTTGTTTGTTTATTTGCCTCTCAGCGGGGCAGAATCACCCTAGAGTTTGGGCCGCCTCCCTGGAAATAAGGTGCGGGCGGTCAGAGACAGCATGCTCGCGGCTTTTCGAGCCATCGGACCCCCCCCCCCACCTCCGGTTTCTGGGTGCTGGGCTCGAGGCCTGGCCGACACCCCCTCCCACGCGGGGCCCGAGACCACAGGCCCCGCCCACGTGGCGAGCGGCCCGGAGCGCGAGGCCCAGCGGCCGCCACACAATGGAGGCCACTGGCGGTCCCGCGCGCCCCCGCGCGCCCCCGCCACCGCGAGCCTCCTGCGCAGCGGGGGTGCTGGAAGGTTCCAGAACCGGCCTGCCAGGTGGGGGAGGGGAGAGAAACGCGAGTCCTCGAGCTCGTGGGGCAGCACCGGGTACCCCACACCCTTCTCAAAAACTCCACTTAGTCGTGTCGGCCGTCCCCAAAGACAAGCGACCCCAGACTCAGGCCTCCTGGCTATCGCCGGCGCGGCCGCATTTTCTCTACACTCACCCGTGGACGCCATTTTCTCTCCTTCCTTCTCGTTCTCTCAACGTCCGTCTCCCTCTCGCTTTCCCTCTAGGCGCCGCACTGCGCAGGCGCGAAACCCGCAACCTCGGGCGCTACCATCGGGCCAGGCCACGGGGGTAGAGGAGAGAGGGATGAACCACAGCTTCCTAGGCTTCTCGCCCTCCACTCTCGCCCTGATCCTCTCTAAAAAGTGCCAGCTGAGACGCGCGGGCCAAAGTAGCACTGAAGGGACCGGAGCGGCGGATCAGTGGGTCTCGGTGTCAAGGCGAATTGATTCTTCGCACGGGGCTAAATTGTTCGAAGTGGTCACGTCCGCTGGCTCTAGGGACCGTCTCTGAAGAGTATGCCTTGAAGGGAAACGGAGGCCGGAGGGAGGGCTAGGGGGAGGGACCTGGGCCTTGAACAACTGCTGACTAATTCACGGGCGGCGGGGGAGGGGTTGGCGCGCGGGGGAGTGGGCCTGGGGTGGGGGTCTCGCGCCCGAGGTCAAGCAGAATGGTTTTAGGGTCCTCGGGCCTCGGCGGGAAGCTCGAGTCCCTGCTCCCAGCCGGGCACCCCGCCCGGCTCTTGGCGGGCACGGGGCGCGCCCCGCAGTGAGTACCCCTGACACGTGGCCTGAGCCGGCTGGGCGGGGGCCGAGGCCGGTGGGCTGGATGGGATATCCCGAACGTAGCTCCGGGCCCCGAGAACCCCCTAGTAACGGTCGAGGTTGAGAAGGTCCTTTAATCATCCCTCATCTAATACCCTTGTTTTTACAGAAGGGGAAACTGAGGCCCAAGTAATTTGGGTACTTTTACTAAAGTCACAAAGCTGAGTCCGACCCACACCTTGCGACCCTCACTTTCTCCATCACCCGGAAGAATCTTCCGGGCCCTTGCCTTCCCATTCTGTCCTCCGGCTTCCCAATAAGGTAGGCAGGGCCTGATGGTGCATAGCCCCATTTTATAGATGGAGATTGCGGCCTGGAGGGTTCAAATCCCAGTTCGTTTGCCCACGGACAAGTCCGGGGGTGGGGGGGTGGCGGGGTACAGGAGGAGGCTTGCAATGGAGCCTTGGCTCCGGGCAAGGGTGGCACTTCTCCGCCTTCCTGGACAACCTTTAACCCAGTCTCACCCAAATCTCTCAGCGAGGTGGTGCCAAGCTAGTGTTTTTCGTTAAGGGCACCAACCATGTGTGAGGAACATCCTGGGAAACTTGGGGATGAACGACACCCTCCCCCCCCCCCCCCCCCCCCGGCTTTAGCTCAGACCTCCAGCCAGGGTGAAAGACAGGCTAAGCTGTATTCATTAGGTAAGATTCATGATGTAAGGGCCAGAGAAGGGGATGGGGACATTTGAGCTGGGCTTCAAAAGGTGCAGAGGAGTTGGCCTCTTGAAGATCGAAGCTTTCTGCATGTTTCCTGCAGGAAACTGGCAGGTGGGTTTTGATGCTGTTTGATGCTCAGGATGTCCTCAAGGGAGCAGAGGAGGCAGGCTTGCTGTCTTTCTGGGATTTTGCTTCCTGCCCGGTGAAATCAGTTCAGTGGGACTCCTGAGACAGACAGGCCTGGCCAAGGGTGAGGGGGTTCCAGCAAGGCCAGGAGGACAGGCTGGATGTGAGGGACAAGAAAGGGAGAAAAAGTGTTGCCATGAAGGCGGGGAATGGGCACGTTTGAAGGCCAGAGTCTGAACCAGCAAGGCTGGAGCAGTTGCCTCCATGTTGAGGCCTCCCCCTGTTGGGGCAGCTGGTGGCCGCATGGGCCACTAGCTGGGGTGGCTACAGGTAAATGAGCAGGAGTTGTGGGCCGCCTGGGTCTTTCCTTTATCTAATCCTGTAAGGAAAGGATTTTCTTTTTTTTCCTTTTTTAAAAAATTATTGTTTACTCTATTACACTTGTAAGGATAGGATTTTCTCATCCCCATTTTATAGAAGAGGAAGGAGAGCTCCGCAGTTGGCAAGCTTGCCTAGGGATGCACAACGGGAAGAAGTGGAGACTGGAACGCTCCTGTGGAAAGGGGGCTAGGGCCCAAGGGGCTGTGCTAGGGCTCAGTGCAAGGTATTTCAGTCCAGTGTCACTGTGTATGCGCCCTGGATATGGGACTCCTGCTGCCCCTCCTCCAGTCCTTCTGCCTCACCCCCTCCCTGATCTGCCTGCACATTGGCTGGCCTCTACCCCTTGGTCTGGGGCAGCATCGGGAGGTCCAAGCTAGGCACAGGGGAAGGGAGGAGGGAGGACGATGGTCTGCAGCTGCAGGGGAGCAGAGGAAAGCTGGAAAGGGCCCTGAATTTGCCCTGGGAGGCTGTGTCCCTCTTTTTGGGAGTCCAGGGCCTGAGTTCAACTTCCCTCGCCCTGTGCCTCCCACCCCCTACCCTTCTTCAGGGGCGGTCGGTGCTCAGAGCCCTTTTGGCCTGGCTTCTCCCCATCCTCACACTCAGGCTGGTGGACTGGCAAGATGGTTAAACACATGGTTAGGGTCCGAGCTCCTCCATGGCCAAGTTGCTGGGCCTGTCTCCAGCCTCAGCTCCTACTTCTGTAAAGTGGAGCTGTTGGTAGGGTAATTGAAAGGAAGTCAGATAAAAGCTGCAATAATAACTTATTGTTTTCCTTTACCCATAGCACATAGCCCCAAGACTGCGTGTGACCGCCTTCAGCCAAGCCATGTGTGACAGAAGCCCCCCTGGCCTACTGTCCCCAGCGCTGCCTCTCGCCTCCTCAGTCCTGATGCTGCTAATGAGCAGTCTGTGGCTGGTAGGAGCAGGCCCCAGCCTTGCTCTGGCTCCGGAGCTGCTGTTGGACCCCTGGCAGGGTGAGGGCTGGCCCCCTGCGCCTTGGAGGAGGCAGGAGACCTGCTGTAGGGCCTGAGACCAGTTGGCAGTAGCTCTGCCTCTTGCAGTGGTCAGGCAGGGATAGGACCCAGTGCTGCGGGGAGGATCAGCCCGGACGGGAGCTCGCCCAACCCATCCACAGCCAGGGAGGGCAGAGGAGCCAGCGGAGGGGGGAGCCTGTGAGTAGGAATTGTCTTCCGAAGGCTTCCTGAAATAAGAACTAAGGCTTTCAGCTTAGCGTGAGAATGATGGAAGAGGTGGTGCTGGGAGTTTGAGGAGTGACCTCGGCTGAGTGCCTGTTTCCCAATAATGACAGCAGCTTCCATTCACATTTGAGGAACTCAAATGAAGCTCACAGAGGTTAAGTGACTCGTCCTTAGTTGCTTGCTTTTGAGAAGACTGAGCGGAGGGCCTGGCTTGTTCTGTTTAATACAGCGGGGGAGCAGCCAGTGTTTGGAAGCCCTTGGTTCCCCCGAGTGATTGCTGGCAGTGGGCAGACTCTGGCTCCTGGGGAGGGCAAGCTGGCTTAGCAGGTGGCCCTGGCAGAGGATAATTCCCAACCTGGCATACCCAGGGCAGCCTCAGGGGTTGGGGCCACTAACCGGGCACATAAGCCCCTTCTCTCCCCCAGCACACCGGCTGCTGACCCATGCTGTGGGCCACACGGCCCTACCCAGCCTTCTCTTGAGTCTGTTGCTCCTGCCCACGCTGGGCTGGCAGCAGGAGTGCCACCTGGGCACGCTGCGGTTCCTGCATGCCTCCGCCCTGCTGGCCCTGGCTGCCGGGCTGCTGGCTGTGCTGCTGGCAGGCCTCGGGGTGTCCAGTGCAGCGGGTGGCTGCGGGTACATGCCTGTCCATCTGGCCATGATGGCGGGGCAGGGTTACCACCCTAGATGGCCCCGTGGGGCCCTGCCACCATGGCTGTCGCCATGGCTACTGCTCATCCTGACACCGCTGCTCACCTCCGAGCCACCCTTCCTGCATCTCCTCTGTGGCCTCCTTGCAGGTCTGGCCCGTATCCTTTGCCTGGACCCAGGGCCTATGTGGATGTGTGGGTCGTGGCTGGGCCCCCAGGGTCCCTGGGAGGGAAGCGGCACAAGGGGGTCAGGCCCAGCCACGGCACAAAGCTGTGAATACATGCTTCAGGCACATCTTTGAGTCCTCCAGCCAGGCTCCGGGCTGTGGCTTGGGGGGGCTTGTGGCCAAGTGCCAGTTACAATTTAAAGGGAAACTCAGGGGGGCTGAGGTGGCCCAAGGAGGCACCTAACCAGGACCTCCACGGTGGAAGTGACATCTAAGCTGAGACATGTAGGATGAGGGGTTCAAGTGGAAGTGAGAGGAGAGAGCGGCCAGGCAGAGGGTGCAGGAGGTGCACGGCCAGGGGTGAGAGTGGGCTGGGCTCTGGGCACTGACAGGGAGAACCACCTGTGGCCGATGTTGCATGTGCATTACATACAGGCTTTTGCTCTGAGGATGCGTGATGCCTGTTGGGGAAAACAGTGCAGTTGGAGAGAAGAGTGGGCACAGGCAGACCCCTGTAGTTGTTTAGCATTAGGGACACTGGGTGCTGCACCTTGCCGAGTCCTGGAGTGGGGAGCACGCTGCCTGGTCAAGAAGAATGGGGGCGTGTGTCATTGGGCCCAACAGTACGCCTCAAGTCAAGACCTGAACACGTAGACAGGGCTCTGGGAATAGAACAGGGCAGCGGTGGCTGAAATGGGATGAGACAGGATTTGGGGGTGAGACTCACGCGGCGCCACCTCTTACTGGCCAAGGAGCTTCAGGCATATCCCCTTTCCTCTCCGAACTTCCACAGCTGACTGGGGTGACAACACCTCCCTTACAGGGCCGTAGTGAGGAGACACGTGGGAATGCCCAGCATACACTTGGCAAGGGCCTGGCATGCCGTGTGGGCTCGCTCCTGGCGGGTTTCGGTTTTCCTTGACCAGCCGCCCTGCCCTGGGCAGGCAGACGCAGCCGGGGCCTTCCGATGGCTGGAGCTCTCTGAGCAGCGGCTGCAGGTGCTGCAGGGTGGCTTCCTGTGCAGGGTCCTGGCGGAGTGCTGGCCGCTCAGGCTCTTTCCCACCCCAGGCAGTGGGGCTGAGCTGCCCCTCACGCATCCTGGAGTGAGGTGAGGGCGATGCCAAGGCTACCGGCCCCGGTGGTGGAAGCTGTGGCATTGACTGGCAGTCAGACCCTCTTCTGCTTCTGCCCCTCCAGGTTTTCCACCCATGGACCTCCTCACATGGCCTCCTCTAGTCTTTGGTCCCACAGCGAAGACTCAGCCTTATTTCCACCAGGCCTGGGGCCTGTGCAGCCGGCCTGGAATGGCTCCGCAGAGGCTGGCCTGCCCGGGCCTGGGCCCGGCTTCCCCACAGGGACCCCACTGTGGGCAGCCCTAGATGAGCAGATGCTGCAGGAGGGAATCCAGGCCTCGCTCCTTGAGGGGCGAGCCTCCGTTCCCATGAGCACACTGTGGCTGCCTAAGTCCTCTGTCTCCTCTTTGCGGTAAGGCAGGGTGAGCAGGGTGGGGTCTCCTGGTGTGAGGGCTGGAGGTGGCCCTGATGCTCTCCCTGTCCCCTCCCTCTCACAGGCTGCAGCAGCTGGAGCGCATGGGCTTCCCCACGGAGCAGGCAGCGGTGGCACTAGCAGCCACAGGGCGCGTCGAGGGCGCTGTTTCACTGCTGGTCGGTGGGGAGGTGGGCACTGAGGCCCTGGTGACTCAGGGGAGGGGTGGGGCCGCTCACCCCGAGGGTCCTGGGCCCCCCTAGCACAGGCAGGCCCTCAGGTGACGAGAGGCCTGGCTATGGGTCAGTGGTCCAAGGGCCAGTGCGCCACATCAGAGTGGGTACAGGAGAGGCCCCTGTAGTGCCCTGCACTAGTACTGTTGAGAATAAAACCAGTTCGCTTTTCACCCTGGACCTCCTTACGGGCCACAGTTGTATCTGCCTGTTCTGTGTTGGTGTCAAGATGAATGAACAGTAAATGAATAGCCAATTGCAGGCGAGCAGCTCTGATGTCCGGCGTTACCCACCATGCAGCCTCTTCCTCCAGGAAGCTATTTCCTCCACCTCGGGCCTTTGCTGGGCTGGACCCACTGCCTGGGAGCATTCTTTAGATTTAATTTATTTATTTTTAGAGAGAGGGAGAAAGAGAGGGACAGAAACATTGATGTGCCAGTGAAATATCCATTGGTTGTTTCTTGCATGCCCCTAACTGGGGACCTGGCCCACAACCCAGGCATGTGCCCTGACTCGGAATCGAACCAGTGACCTTTCAGTTTGCAGGACGGCACTCAGTCCACGGATCCACACCAGCCAGGGCTCAAGGTGCATTCTTAATCACTTGTTTCCTAGCTATTTTCCACCCATCCTCCAGTCTCAGCCTACACAGATGCTGTCCTCCAGGAAGCCTTCCTTGATCACTCAGGGACACCATCCCTTCACTGCCCGTGGCCCTCAGTGTCCTTGCGGGACAGGGCCAATTCAGGCTGTCTGTTAGGCCAGGCCCAGGGCGGGGCCGCACACTGCTGGGCCTGTGGGCAGGAAACAGTGGGTGGGGGTGCTGTGGGGGAGACGCTTCCTCCTCTTTGAAGTAGAAGCTCCTCCCTCTTGGCCCCTCTCAGTCCTTGCCCCTCCCCTGGGAGGGGCAGTGCAGACAGAGCTAAGGGCAGTGAATAGGGATGGGTTGGGGGAGGGGTAAGGCAGAGAGGCACCTAGGAAGCTGGACTTTGAGGGGTGGTACAGGGGGCTACCTGTCCTGGAGCAGTCTACATCCTGGTTACCCTTCTGGTCATCAGCTGGGGACCAGAAACGGACTTGGAAGTCTGAGGGCCATGCCATCCGTTTCATTTCAGTTGAGCAAACAGGCTCAGGAGAAGCTGCCCTGAGGTCTGGCGGCTCCTTGGTCCCATAGCCCCTTAGAAGCCACAGCTGTTGCTGAATATCTGGCCAGGGGCTGGGGGTAGCCTAAGCCTGTTTTGCTCACCTCTCTCTGTCTCCTGCTGCCCAGGGGAGCCTTGGCCCCCTGACCCTGTGCAGGCCTGTACTGAAGGCCACTGAGAAAAGGGAGGAGGCCCCTGGCTGTGACCTGTTGTCCCCATTGAAGCACACACTGAGACGATGCTGGGTGGGGAATCAGGCTGGGGGCCTTTATTGGCCGGTAGACACCTATCTCCTGGTGCCTGTCAAAAGCTTTGTGGGAGCAGGTGGCTCCTTGCTTTCCACGCCCCCACCCCTCACCTGGGATGTGGGAGTGGCTGGGGACTGGGACAGAACGGAGTCAGGGAGTCCACAACACCCTGTCAGCTTGGGCACCTTGACCTCAGGGTTGGGAACTGAGCACCAGAAAATGAGAGGAGGGGCGAGGGTGGGCTCCTCTGAGGTTTGGTGGGGGCGAAGGGAGGTGAGGCTGCCCTCTCTCGTCATCCCTGCATGTGCTGAGGGCTGGGCAGAGTTCTGGCTCCCTCAGGGCCCGAAGGCCTGGGTGCCTGATGGGAGACAGAGACCCGGAACCTGCCACCCCCTCCCTGCAGGCCTGCATCCCCCCATTTTGCAGAGGGAAACAGGCCCAGGGCCCCCAGCAAGGCCTCATCTCCCGCCCGGGCCACCTCTCCCTCTCAGGCCCCTGTCCCTGCTCAGCCTCAAGTGAGGCAGAGGTGCCTGGGCTGTCATACCCAAAGGCCTAGGAGGCGGAGGGACCCTGAGGACATTAATAAATATGCTGGGCAGTCCCTGGAGGCAGCTGGCCGAGTCCAGGCTGGGAAGGGAAGCCCGGCCTGGCCCACCCCGAGGGGCCGCCTCCACCCTCAGCCTCTCTCGTTGCGGCTCCTGGGGGCCACGATCCGGTAGTTGGTTGTGTGTCCTCCCCTCTTGCCCCGAAGGAGGTTGGGGGTGCCCGTGCCGGCAGGGTCTGCCCCTGACCCCTCTGGTTCTGCCGGAGGGAAGGAGAGAGGCTGGGTTAGTGAGGCCTGTGTGAGGTACCCACCTCCCCTTGGCCCTCTGGGGCGTGGGGGGACTGGGCACTTGGCCAGGCGCACTCTGCCCTGGCATCCACGGGGCAGAGCTGTGGGGGAAAAGGGGTCTGCAGACTGGTTAGCATCCCCCCCACCAGGGACTCATCAGCCCCTAACCCCCTGAGCACTCAGGGCCTCGATTTTCTGTCAAGTGGGGACAAATGAACCCACCATGTTTCTGAAACGCTTACTGTGTAGTGAGTGCTCCATAAAAAATAGAGGTCTTTTTTTTTCTTTTCTGCATTTTTGGGTGAAGGTGTGCCTGAACCATTGGCATTTCACAGCTGGGTCAACGAAACCCAGGGAACAGGCTCCCTTTTCCTCCCGGTTTAGGCCACTGGTGGGGGAGGGTCAGCAAGGCCAGGCACGGCACTGACCTTACACTGAGGCTCTGGGCACACGGGGGCTCCGTCAGGGCCTCAGCTGTCTCACCTCTACAGCCGGGCAGGCAGTTTGGACACTGACGTCCTGGCCAACTCTTGCAATGACTGAAGTCAGTTCCGATTTGCCTGTGGTGAGATGCGCCCCAGCCTGGAAGTGAGCTGGACCCCACAGTGAAACCCATACAGTTGTACCTCGGCACTCGTTAATTCGTTCTGGGACTCGTGACGAGTGCCGAAACCAGAGGGATGAAACATTGTTTTTCTCGTCAAAATGCGACGAGTGTAGGGTTTGACGCTTTCTGAAGCCGGCGAGTAGAGAGGTATGACTGTAATGGGCATTCTCACCACCTTAAAGGAAAACAACTCTTATTCATCCTACAAAACCCAGAGCAGGACTTACCTCCTCTAGGAAGCCTGTGACTATCACCTCAGGCCCTCTCAAAGCTAAATGAGCAGGTCAGGCAGGTCGGAAGGATGGGCTATTTTCTAGGGGGAGGGCACCACCCAGGCAAAGCCCAGCATGGAGGGCTTGACTAAGCCTTCAAAACGCTGGTCACAGGAGACACACTTGGCTTGTGGGGAGCACCAGCGGCCTCCTGAGGGCACAGGCAGGAGAGTGGGCTAGACCCTCATCATCATAACTTAAGCGCCCTGAACCTGTGTGCCCCAGCCTCCCACGCACCTCTGGGCTGAGATTCGGGAACCGTGGAGCAAACAAGCATGTGCCATCATGGTCAAGGGATAGTGCATGCCCTCAACCAGGGAGCACAGCTCAGACACCGGCATCAGCTAGGGCCCCGCCCTACCCCAGCTAGGTGGCCTCGGGCAAGTCACAGACCTCCAGGCCTCCTTGCTGTGTGGTAGCGTGCCCAGGGGTGGAAAGCGGTTTTCACCGTACGTGTTGGATCATGCGGTCACTAGGATGGTGAGCTTTTGACCGGGTCTCCCGCAGGTCTGGTCACTGTGCGTTGGTCATGAGATGCTGTTCTGACATAAATTCAGGGCCTAGTGAGGCAGGGGTGTCACTGAACCTTTGCCAATGGAGCCAAAAGAGCCAGGACGGACCTAGGGGAGACTCCTGACCTTACCACTACTGTCCCTATGACTCCCAGGGAGTCTGTCTTCACCTGTGAAACGGGCATGGCATCGCCCACCAGGCAAGCTTGTTGTAAGGACTGGAAGTGATTATTGTAAATGCCTCAGCCCACGTGGGCTGGAAGTGTGACAGCTGTGACTATTGTCATTGCTGATTATATCCTAAACGTGAGTCCCATCTGGGTCTTCAGTTGGTACCTGCTGTGTGTGACGGGCCAGTGGGCATGGTCCCGTCATCTTCTCCGCTCCCCGGCCCCACACCGCCCTGTCAGGCCCACTACGACAGCTGGCTCGTGGAGTCCCTCTTCCGGGCTCAAGGACACAAGAGTGGGCATGGGCCTTCCTAAGCGACCAGCACTTCCTCCCGGGGCTGCTGGAGACAGAGCTGGCTGGGGGTGGGGGGCAGGGTATAGATCCCAGGCCACAATCTTCCTGAGAGAAGCGATAGGGGACACCTGGAAAGGCGCTGAGAGCCTGGCATTAGGTCGTTCGTCCCTCCTCTGTGAGAGGGAAGGAGGTCTGGGAGATGGTCAGTGATGTTTCTAGAAGTCGCAGAAGCCCTGTGGTATGGGAAGGTGGGCTTTGGAAGCAGACCACACACACACCTTCCAACCCCTAGGCCTTTGCCCACATAGGACTCTGTGAGGGCTGCCCTTCCCGCCGCCTTCTCCTGGTGCACTTGCTGGGATCTTCCGGGACGTAACACGAGTGTCTCATCGTCCAGGAAGCCTAGCCCCTGCCCCTGGGGAGAGGTGACTCTTCCTGTCCCACATCCTTCGGTGCCCCTGTACCCCATGACCCTCATCTGTGGGATCTGCTAAGCACCTGCCCAGACCTGGCACTCAGCAGGTGCACTCTACAGCTTTGCTCAATGAAGGAGGCTTGGCTTTAACCTTAGCCCTTTTTAGCTTGGACACCTCAGTTCCTCATTTGTAAAACAGATGGGAGGTTGGTCATGATGCCCGAGACCTGTGTGCGCTGATGCACTAGGACTGGGTTGTGAGATGGGGTGGAAAAGGGAGGCTGTCGGGGCCTCTTAGCAGGTCGGTAAGGAGTGGGGCTCAGCCCTGGGGAAAGCCAGGCCTTGCCTCTCTCCAGGGCCAGCCAGACGCCACTTAATGGAGAGAGACCTCTCTAGCCCCACTTTGGCGAGCCAGGCACAGGGAGGGGAAATGTCCACTTGGTGTCTAACCCCATTCCATGCCTCACAGACCTGCCTTTGAGGACCTCCTCAAATTGGGCCCTGGAAGATCCTGTAGCCAAAGCATTCACCCCTCAGCAATCTCACGGAACAATCCCTCTAGGCTGTCTCTGGCTTCTTGGCTTTTGCCCATGCTGCTCCACTGCCTGTTCGCTTGCCCCTGATCCCTGCTTTCCAGGGCTCTACTTAGCCAACACCTCCTCCAGGAAGCCCTCCCTGAGATGCCCTGCCCAATGCACCACCCTAGCCTGGGTCAGGGGCACTCGGTGCTTTCATAGATGCCTGTGCTCACTCCATGGTGGTATTCCTCACCTTTGGTTTAATGGCCAGTTCCAGGGCTCCCCCTGCACCCCCGCAGCCTAAGCTCCATGAGAGCAGGACTATTTCTGCCTTATCTGTTGGAGCTTGTGCCTGCAAGATGCCTGGCACAGAGCAGGTGCTCATTCACTCAAGAACTAGTTACTGGAACCTTCTCTGTGTCGGGCACCGTCTGCTAGCTGGAAGGAAGGGCTAAAGAGTGAGTGTCTGCTGGCCTGGGTCCAGCATGGGAGTCTCCTTCTGTGACCCCAGGCCCTTCCCAGGCCCTTCCTGGAAGGGGCTGCCCCTGCCTGCCCACCCTGCCGTTACCTGGCCAGATGATGGCTTCCAGCAGGGTGACCCGTCTGGCCAGGAGCTCCAGCTGAGCCTGCTGCTGCAGGAAGCTCTGTAAGCTAGGAGCCTGATGGGAGATCGAGAAGAGCAGACGGTGCGAGTCCGGCCTCCGAGGGCGGGGCGGGGAGCCGAGGGTGGGGTGTGTGGGCCGAGAGCCTTGCTGTGAGTCTCTGTTGAGATCTTGATCTCCCCTTCTAAGCAGGGACAGGGCTTGCCTGGCTCCTCAAGTGACCAGATGGGTGATGGGTAGAGAATTGTTGGGTGAATTCCTAGGGTGAGGGTCTAGCTCTCGCACGCCCCTAAACGGACCCTCAGGGCAGGTTAGGAGGACCAGAGGGGAAACTGAAACTGTCAGGCGGATAGCTCAGGCCCAGAAGGCCTGCCCTGGAAGCCTCTTGGGTCTTACGGGTGAGGAAGGATCAGAATTGGCGGGTAATACATTACCCAGAGTCCCCTGGGGGCTGAGCCTGACTCTGTCACTCACAGTCCCCTGCATTTCTGGAGTCCAGCTCCATAACCTACTGTCCCTGTGGGCCTGGAGGCTGGCTTGGTTACCCGAGATTTCTCTAGAGCTGAAGCCTGATTGAAGTCTGGATCCATCACCCATAATCCTCCTGTGGGCCTGGGCTGTGACTATTACCCACAATCCCCTGCACTGTTGAATTCCAGCTGTTACCCACAATTCCCTGCTGTTCTGGAGTTTGGCTTCATTGCGCATAATTTCTTCCAAACTCAAAATCTGTCACCTCTGGTTTCCCCTGCAGGCCTGGAAACCACATTACCCACAACGCCCGGAGGCCCAGGTCTGACCACAGAGGTGGGGGCCCTGGTTTCTAAGGCCCCCCTTCACCTGTGGAGTAGGGACCCAGTCATTGAGGGGTAGGTGGTCTTAGCTTCTCCAGCTTCATTACTGAGCCCAGGCAGCTCCACGCTGGAGGGCCTGGGGAAGGCTGGCGGGCAGGGGCTGGGCTGTCTGTCCGTCTGTCTGTCTCTACTCACCATAGAGCCCAATCATTGTTTCCAAGATTAAAACCCTCTCAGCTAAAATCTTCAAAGCCTCGCGTAGTTGGTGCAACCCCTCCCCCTGCGGAGGAAAGAGACAGATGCAGCCGTGAAGGGGACGGGGAGGGGCCCCTGCAAAGCCTGTTGCTGGCCCATGCCCCACCCTGGTCATGCACCTGCAGCCTGCACCACCTGCCACAGCCCAGGGCCTATGGACAGTGGGACTAGACCAGGAAAGGACAGCAGGGGGACAGAGCAGGCAGAAGCAGCTCCCTCAATAGGTCCCGCTGGATCCCAGCTGGCTGCTTTCTCCCCGCACCCTCGCAAGTCCTGCTGCACTGGGGGCGAGGGCGGCAGTGCCGTCCCAGGGTCTGCCATGGAACTCGCCACAGAATGTGCCCTGGAGGCTGCCAGGAAGCCTCGCCACCCCAGCTCTAATGTTCTTTAAATGGACCCTTTGCCTACCTCCATCAGTGGGATGAGGCAACTTACCAGTATTCTTTCCATTCACATCACAATGATATATACAAGTAAAATGAGAATATGTTTGAGTGGCACTGCTATTGGGAAGCTGTGTTTAAAATGCTGGCAAGGCTGAGGTTCTGGCCCTGGTGTCCCCTCCCAAGCCTTTCTCACTTTGGGCTCAACCCTCCTAGGCTCTGACTACCCCAGGCCCATATTCCGCAGGTCCAGGAGCCCAGCCCTCAGCCTCACCCTCTCTTCTAAGTAGCATCTCTAGTGCCGAGGCCCAGGGATACGGCAGCGGGTCCACAAAGCCACCTTCCTCCCAGGCCTCCCTGCTCTGGGGCTTCCCACTCCCCAGCAGTGCGAGCTGCTGCCCAGGGCTCAGGCCAGAGGCCACCAGCTGGCACTCACTTTCACTTACTCCCCATCTGCCTGTCCTTTCCAACCCCGGCATAGGGTCCACGGTCTTGCCTGAACTCATACTCCCTTACTCCTTCTTCCCTACTGCAGACTTAATCTGGTTCTGTGCTGAAGATACCTTAACTCCAGCAGAGCACGAGGACAGTGAATCGCTATTTCAGCCCTGACACCGCTGGGAGCCTCTCTTGATGCCCTTTACTCAGTATGGAGTGAGTGATGGGATGATGTGTGACATGATTTGCTATAATTACAATCCAACCTTTTAAAGTAGCCACTCCCTCCAAAATACCTAACAACTGAGAGGTCTGCCAATACATTCGTGAGCCCACTGTGGTCTTGCTGTGACTGTCTATTATGATCCAGGTGTCCTGTCCACATCGCACGGATTGAGCTACCCTTAGGCCACTGACTGGTCATTGCAGCCGGGGGACAGTCACCACAGGCTGTACACCACAGTAATCCCTCTTCAAGTATTACAGGAGGAGGAGCTAAACATGAATGGCTTTCAGAAGTTACGTTAAGCCACTCCCGGCGTGGATAGTGGGACAAGCTGACATCATGAACCCCCTGAAGAGATGCAGTAAGAGGGCACCACATCCCCCCAAGTGCTCCTGCTAAGAGGACTTAACCTGCATCTCATCGCCAGGAAACAGACAAATCTAGATGATGGGACGTTCACAAAAAGACAAAATCAAGGGAAAGAAAAAAGGGCAGGAGGCCTATTTTAGATTAAAAGAGGCTGGAGACGTGACAACCAAATGTGATGTATAAATCTTGATTAGAAGTTAAAAAAAAAAAACAGCTATAAAGGGCACTTTGAGACCACGGATAAAATTTGTATATGCTAAGCATTAAATGGCATCATTTGACTGAATTAATGTCAGCTTGCTTTAGGTATGATAGTGGTATTGTGGCTATTTGGGAGAATGTCCAAGTCTTTCGAGATACATGCTGACGTGTTAGGGGGAGGAATGGATGAAGTCTGAAACTTATCTTCAAATGGATTAGGGAAAAAAGGTCTGTAAATATATAAAGAGAAGACAGAGCAAAGTGGTAAAACAGTCATTGGCTAGCCTAGAGAAAGGGAAGAATAATATTCATTGTACCAACACTTCTGCATATTTGAAAAATATCAAAGTAAAAATCTTGAGAAAAACGTAAAAAAAAAAAGATTCTGCTGTTTGGATCCTTCCCCAGATGGGGGCCTGCTGCTTGCACTGATGACACCCCCGTCCTGAGCGTTCAGGGCCTGTTGGACACCCCATGGGGCACAATACAGACGTCTCTCACTTTTCATGGACAAAACTCAGTGGGCCTGCTCCTCCTGACCCTCCTTTACTGTTGTGTCTCTCTTAACTTCTCACTCCCCCTCACAGCCAAACTAGCGCCCAAGTGTCGCTTAGGTGCACTGACATCTGCCCCTCTTCACTGTCGCCAATCCCAGTGCCAGCCCCCACAGTCTCTTGCCAGGGTGGCCATGACAGCCTTTTACCTAGTCTCTTTCTGTTTTTCACATCCATTCTCCACACGGCAACAGAGTGGTCTTCTGCAAACGAAAATCTGACCATGTCACTTCCCCGCTCAGGGCTATTAAAAGGGCTCCCCACTGCCCATTAAAAGAAAGTTCAAATTCCTCGATATGGCCTCCTAAGTCATGACAGCCTTTGACCTCTGTCTCACCCCTGCCTATCACACTCTGCCACTCCAAGTGCTTGCTCCTGCTCCTCTCTGCCTGAACACCCTTCGCCTGGTTAATGTATCTTTCAGGCCTCAGCACACGAGGAGGAGGCTAAATCCTCCCCCATCACAGCTGAGCTCCCTCTGTCCTGTTGTTATTGGTTATTAGTCTGTTTCCCCCTCCCCCCCCACCCCACCGTGACTACCCTGAGGGGTGGGGACTGTGTCCAAATCACATCAATGTCCATAGGGCCTGGCCTGCAGCCTAGCACCCACTGAGGAGGTGCTTGGGAGAATGTTAGCTGGCTCCCCCAGTCCTGGGAGCTGAAAAGCCAGGGCTTCAGTTGTCCGCTCTGTGGAGTTGGGCCTGATTTTTCCTGTCTGAATGAGGGATACGAGCTTTGTTCTAGATGGGCTGGTTCAGCGCAGTCACTCCCTTGCAGTGCCTGCAGTGCATGCCCATGGCCACTGGGTGTCACTGCTGAGCCACAGCACAGTCAGTGGCTCGAAAAGCTTGGCTAAATGGTGGTAGGTAGAGTGTGTATTGGAGTCTCTGGGACCCTTCCCCACCCTGCACCTCATTCCCACCTGCTCCGAAGAGAACTACTCCCCCAGCCTACAAAGCCGCATGCAGCCCCCAGCCCAGCAGGCCCCCTCCCAGGCAGGCAGCAAGCAGGGGCAGAAGTGCAGGCCGGTGAAGGGGAGGCAGGTGGATGGGCAGGGGCCCTGCTACCTCCTGGGGACTCCTCCCACAGGTGGTTCTGGGTTTGAGGGGCCTGGCCTGGGATAGTTCGGGCATCTGTTCTCCTGCTGGGACCCCCATGCAGCGATGGGGCTGCTTAGCCTGATTCAGACTTCACTTCCCTCTCCCACCTTTCCTGGGCTGGGTGGGAAATGCGCTGGGAGAGGCCAGTGAAGCAGCTGAGGGGAGGCAGAGGGCTGGGCTCACACGGGCCTACCTGACCCCCAGCCCAGCTCATGCCAATGCTGGCAGTGTGCGGAAGAGTCTCTAGAGCCACCCGGGGGGCGAGGGCAGAGGAAGCATGGCAGGGAGGAGCTCGGAGAGGCTTGCCGGAAAGGTAGCAGGGCCCCAGAGGTCATGGAAAGACGTGGGGTCGGGCTCGTGCAGGGTGAGGGACTCCCACGGCTGTATCCATCGCTGACCCCACAATCAGGAGCAGAGAGGGCAAGGCAGGCGCTGGGTGTCCTCACTAACTAGTGCCTGCCAGGAAGTAGGACGTCCCAGCCAGACTGCACCAGGGAGAGGGGAGGGGGGCGGAGGAGGGAGGCACAATCCCATCCTCCAAAAGAGCTTCCCAGTTGTCTCTCCTGTAGGAGTGCCTGCCCCATCCCGTCCATTTTCCAAATGTCTCCCCTGTCAGTGATGGTTTCCAGTCCCTGCACTTGGGGGCTTTCGGTCCTCCCTCAGTGTTTCTTTTGGGCGGGTAGATTTCTAAGCCCTGAAAGTCATTCACTGCAACTATCTCCAATGATTATGAAGGTTTCTAGGACCCCACGTGTGGTTTCTAGATCCCCTTTCCCATTTACGTCTCCTGTGTCTGTGACAGTTTCTAGGCCTCCTTTCCCATTCTTCATAGGCTTCCTTTGTGTATGGTGATTTCTAGGTCCCCTCATCTCATTTCTCACAGTTCTCCTGTGATTATAACAGTTTCTAGGTGTCTCCTCCCACTCCTCCTTGGTCTCCAATGTATGTGATGGTGTCCAGGACCTCATGTTAATTATAGGTCTTTTGGGCATAGTGGCGTCTTGGTCTCCTGAACTCACTTACCATGTGCATGTCAGTGTCTAGGCCTCTCTTTCCACGCTTCATGGATTTCCTATGGGTATGATGGTGCCTAGGTCCCCTGTGCCTTTTACTGTGGGCTCCTGTGTACCTTGGCATGTCTATGCCTCCCTGCCCGTTTCATGGCTGTCCTAAGGCCCCCTGTCCTGTTCTTTTTGTGTGGATACTGTTTTCATGCTTCCCTTTCTTCTGCAGACAGGGGAGTAGAAGCCAAAGCCCTTGCTTGGAGAGGCCTGTGGAGGCAGGAGATGCAGTCTGGACTGGGTCAGCCCAAACTGCCCAGGAGGGACAGGCAGGGTCCCCCTAGCCTGGAAAGGCCACAGAGGGAAGGCGGAGGCAGGGATGTGAAGACAGAGACAGAGAGCGTGGGGTCTGCTGATAAGGCTGGCCCTGCCCAGTTGGGAGGAAGAGGACAGGGAGGGTGCTAGGGCTGAGAACTGTCAAGGCTCCTCCCTGGGAGACCAGCTTGCAATGGGGATTTGGCTGGGTTGCCCCCACTCCAAAATAATCCCCAAGTGCCCAGGGCAAGAGAGGGTAGCAGAAGATCAGTGCTGGGCCGGAGCTTACCCAGTGGCTCTTCTCGCCAGGATCTCCTTTGGGGCCAGGTTCTCCCTGCAAGGAGAAATAGAGGTAGAAGCAATGGGAGAGGGAAGAGAAAGAGGGAAGGGGGGAGGGAGGAGAGGAGGAAAAGAGGGAAAGAGAAAAACATAATGAGAGAGGCTGAGAGGGACAGAGAGAGTCCAGCTTGTACCAGACTAATGCTAGAAAAAATACAAAAAACAACTGTTGGAAGGCAATAGAAAGTGATAAAGAGCAGCCAGAAACTAGATATTTGGCTTTCGAATGAAGGAAACTTCACTGTGTAAAATCCATATAGCTTTTCCTCTGAAGGGTATACCCCAGCCCTCTCTGCCCAGCAAACAGCTCAAGCAGGAAGCTTTAGTTTTACTGGGAGGAGTCAGAGAATGGAGACTGCCAAAGAAGGGGGAAATTGAGAGGAAATCTTGGAAAGCAGGCAGCTACCACAGGGGCATGAGATCTGCCTAAACACTCCCCTTTAACCTTTGGGTGGTCCCAGAACCGTCCAACTGAAAGTCACAAAGCTGAGTCCAACCCACACCCCACGCCAAAAGTCAACACTCTTCAGAGGAAGATAACAGACTCCTTCACTGTATAACAGAGTCTCTTCCCTATATTATCTATATTGTCAAGTATGCACTAAAAATGTATTAGACATGTGAAGAAAATGGAAAATGTGGCCTGTACTCCACAGAAAAATCAGTCAGTAGAAACAGATCCACAGCCAACCCAGATGCTGAGCTTAGCAGACACAGATTAAATTATCTATGCTAAATATGTTAAAGAATCTAGTGGAATTAATACAATGGGAGATGGGCAATTTCAGGATAAGGAAACCTAAACGTGAAAATTGTAAAAAATAATCAAATGGAAATCCTGGAAACAAAAATGATTATACTTGAAATAAAAATTTCATTAACTGGGATTAACAGAAGATCGGCCATGACAGAAGACAGAATCAATTAACTTGAACACAGGCCAATGAAATAATTCCAACTAAACCACAGGAAGTAGAAAGATATATTAAAAAAACTGATGGAACCTCAATTACTCGTGGGAGAATATCAAGTGTAACTGAAGACCCAGAAGGAGATAAAAGAGCACAGGAACAGAACAAACGTTAGCATAAATAGCAATCAATTTTCTTTCCAAATTTAATTTAAAAACAAAACAAAACAAATTTCCAGTTTCTGGTCCAACATAAAAAAGAGCTTAGAAGTCACCATTCTGTCCTAACAAGTAAAAAAACCTGAAAAAGCGACTCTTTTCTTTTTTTAGAGCCATTAAAGAAGTGAGCACAGAGCCAACCTCTGCCTCCTGTCGTACAGGGTCAGACGGGCCGGGTTTACTGGGGAACAAGCGCCAGGGCAGGGACACCTAAACGCGATCGATGAATTGCTGGGGCTCAGCGTGGACAATTCAGAGAGTTAAAAATTCCAGGAGGACCCAGTCTCCGGGGAGGCCGCCACACTTCTGTGAGTTCTACTTCCAGGAGCTCTACAGAGGTCCAGACAGTGAGGATTGGAGAAAAATCCCCTCATGCTTTTAGCAGGGGGAGAGGAAAAGGAACCATCTCAAAACTACCGGGGCATTCTGTTCTGAACGGGGCTTCCCCTCAGGAGAACCTAACCTGCTGGGGTCTTCATCAGGGCCTACTTGACCTAGGGGGAGGGAAATTCCCAACTCTAGCTGGCTCCACCTTTCCACAGAGGGAAAGGAACATATCCCCACTCCAGCACCCTCTAGCCATCTTGCCCCACTTAAGGTGGAAAAAGCAAAACAAAGCTGAGAAGCGCTGGCAAAGCTCACAGTCCAGGGGCCCAGGCTTGCCAAGAGGCTGAGACCTCATCCTGGGACTACAGAGCGCCTCCCTGCCCCCAGCGCCCTACCGCCACATTAGTGAAGGCCTGCTGACTGCTGTTCCTCTCCCCTGGTACATCGTGTCTTTCACCAAAAATTACAAGGCGCACTAAAAGGCAAAACCACAGTTTTTTTCCCCAATCCTCATTCAAGGGTATGTTTTTATTGATTTTCAAGAAAGAGGGAGAGAGAGAGAGAAAAAAAGATCGATGTGAGGGAGAAACACTGATTTTTAGGGTAGGGAATTTAATCTGTATGATACTACAGTGGTGGGCACATGTCATTACATCTATCAACAGCTATAGAATGTACAACACTAACAGTAAACCCTAATGTAAACCCTGGACTTCAGGCGGTAATAAAATGTCAATGTGGGTTCATTAGCTGTACTAAATGTACCGCTGTGGTGCGAGATGCCAACAGTAGGGGAGAATGGGCAGGGGACAGGGACTGTATGGGAATGCTCTGTACGTTTTGCTTAATTTTGCTGTGAACCCAAAGTAATGCTCTAAAAAAAAAAGAATTTAATTAAACAAAACAGGCAGCAAAAACAAAAAGCCTAACAACCTTACAGATACAGAAATCTCAGTGAACACAAAGAAAATCATACCCAACTACATCATGATCAATTTGTTGAAAACCAAGGGTAAAGAGAAGATCTTTAAAGCCAAAGAAAACACACAGAGGAGACCAAGAATGAGAATGGCAGCCACTTGTTCATGAGAAACTGTACTATGAGAAATTCTAATGGTAAGCCAGAAGCCACTGGACAAATCTTTAAAGTGCTAACAGGAGAGAAAAATGTCAACCTGCCATTTTATATCCAGTGAAAATATCTTTCAAAAGTTAAGGGAAATTAAAGTAGCTTTAATAATAAAGTAGCTTTAATATCTTGTTTAGATAAACAAGAGCAGGAAGGGTTTGCTGTCCGCAGACCCATACTACAAGAAAGGTTAAAGGATGTTCTTTAGGCTGAAGAGAAATGATACCAGATGGGAATCTGAATCCATGGAAAGGTATGGAGAGTATTAGAAATAAGTACATCAGTAGATGTAAAAGACTATTTTTCTTTGTTTTCTTTATTTCTTTAAAAATCAACTGAGTGTTTCGCCCTGGCTGGTGTGGCTCAGTGGATTGAGAGCTGGCCTGTGAACCAAAGGGTCACTGGTTCCACTCCCAGTCAGGGCACGTGCCTGGGTTGCAGTCCAGGTTCCCAGTGGCGGGTGCATGAGAGGCAACCACACACCAATGTTTCTCTTCCTCTCTTTCTCCCTCCCTTTTTCCCTCTAAAAATAAATAAAGTCTTTAAAAATACCAACTCAGTGTCTAAAGCAATAACACTATATTGTGGGGTTTATAACAAATGCAGAAATAAAAGAGCACAAGGACAGAAGGGGATGTAATTCCCACAGTTGTTAATGTTCCTACTTATATACATGAGCTGGTAAAATATTAATTGAATTGTGATCAGTCATGGGTGCACATTATTCTTAGATCAACCATGAAAAAAATAACACTAAAAGGTATTTAAAAGTTACTAGTAGAAGGGGATAAAGCAATAAAGAGATGGGAGTAAGGAGATAACAAATAGCAAGATGGCTGACTTACACCCAACCATATCAATAACTATACATATCATTAAATGTAAATGAACTCAACAGTAAGACTGTTAAAAAAAAAAAAGCAAGACTCAAGTAGGTGTTGTTTACAAGAGACATACTTTAAATAGAAAGACACAGACGGGTTGAAAGTTAAAAGGACTGGAAAAGATATACCATGTAAACACGAAGCATAAGAAAGCTGATGTGGCTGTTTTTAACAATCAAAGTAGAACTCAAGACAAAGAATATCAGCAGAGAGGAAGATACTCATTTCATAAAAAGGGCCAAGAAGACAATAAAATCCTGAATGTGTATGCACCTAACAACAAAGCTTAGAAATAGATGTAGCAAAAACTGACCAAGCTAAAGGGAGAAATAGACAAATCTACACTTAGAGTTGGAGAGATGGAGAAAAAGAGAAATGCAGGGAGTTGGAGATAGAGACAGAGGAGGAGAGAAACAGGTACAGATCCTGCGAGATGAGGGTGGCTTGACCCTAAGAGGCTGCTGGGCCCCTGGGACAGGGAGGGAGAGAGGAGCTGGAGCGGCCCGGGACAGACAGGGAGGGTCAGGGGCTCTGGCCGCAGGGGACGGAGCCGGAGCAGGAGCCTGTGCCTGCGGGGTCCTGGGGGGAAGCTGCAGGGTGGGCAGCACCGCTCACCCGCTGTCCCATGGAGCCTTGGGGGCCTGGCTCTCCACGCAGTCCCTGTGTGGGAGGGAGGAGAGGTACAGAGTCAGGTGTTGGGGTGCCTGACCCAGGGCCCTCAAGCCTCCTCAGGACCCCCCCACACCGAGGTCAATTCAGTACTCACTCTCTCGCCCTTCTCTCCTGGGTGTCCAGGGGCTCCTTTGGGTCCAGTGGGGCCTGGTGGTCCCTGAGTAACAAGGCAGGGCCTCAGTCCTGTGCTGGGGCAGGGTAGAGTGGACGGGGCCTTGGGGGGCAGAGGGGTCAGGGAGGGAGCTCCAGCTTAGCCTGGGCCTCTGGGCCCTTCACACAGCCAATGACGGGCATGCAGTGAGAAGGTCCTACCGCTCAGTGTTCACAACTACGGCCCTGGAAACAGACAGTCCCCACCTTGCTCTGGAAGTTGCCCTGTGCTGGCCGCAGCCCTAGGGCAAGTATCTCCACCTTTCTTGGCCTTAGGTGATAACAACACTGCTTCTTGTTACTTGGACTGAATGAGAAGCTTTACAAAAAGTAGTTTGCATTTTTAGTCCTCCATAAATGCTTGACCGAATGAATGAAAGCATAGATGGATGGGTAGATGATGGATGGGTGAAGGGATGGTTGGACAGACGGGTGGGAGGGCTTGGGGAAATACTCACTGTATGTCCAGGACTCCCAGGGGTGCCCATGGGACCAGGAGGTCCGGGGGGACCTGGAATAAGACAGGATCTCCTAGGAGACTTGACTCGTGGTGAACACACAATACAATATAAGATGATGTATTACAGAATTGTATACCCGAAACCTATATAATTTTACTAATCAATGCCACCCCAATAAATTCAATTTAAAAAAAAAGGACAGGATATCCTCAGGACCGAACAGTACAATGGCAGGAAGTCTATCACCAGCTCCCTCCCGATAGCCACATTCTCGTCCCTCTGCCGTCCCTCAACCCCACGCCGTACCCTAGACCTGCACTCAACTTACCCATTGGCCCCGGGGGGCCGGGGGGCCCAGCTGGTCCCTGGGGCCAGTGGCTGCTGGTCTCTGTGAAGGTGTTAGACAGAAATGGGTCTCCTGCAGGAGGAAAGATGATGAGTGGGCAGGGCTGGGTGGGGTGGGGCTCGGGCAGAGAGCGGCAGTCCGTCTTCACCTGCCGCCTGTGCCGAGCCAGCTTGGCCTGCGCCGTGGCACAGCCTGCAGCGTGGCTGGGGCCACATGGCACCTGCCCCAAGGGTGGGGAGTGTGGAGAGCGTTGGCCACATGGGCCTGGACGCAGGGAGATGTGAGTTCTAACCTTGCCACAGTCTAGGTTAGACTATGATGTCCAGTAAGACTCACGTCGCTGAGCCTATACTGACACATGTCAAAAAGGAATAAATAACAAAAGCTACCATTTACTGACCATTTACTTTGGGCCGGGCTTCTGTGCATGAATGTCACCGAGCTCTGTCATTGTCCCCACTGTACAGATGAGAAAACTGAGGCTCGGAGGGGGAGAACGAATGGTGAGATGGAAGAATGGGAGAATGGCGCCTGGTTGTGCACCGAGATGGCACAGATGGGGCTGAGCCCAGCACGGCAAGCTCTGACCGCCGGCATGACACACCTAGGTCAGGCTCGGGAGGGGGCGAAGGTCGTAGGTCAGGGTCTAGTGGGTGGAGAGCGCTGGGGCCTCTCTGAGCACAGGGGCAGGGCTGTGGCCTTGGGAGCTCAGGGCTCACTTCCTGCTGCTGGGCCGTGAGCTTCCCTGTGCGCTAAGGGCTGGACCCTGGCCAGCTCCAAGGCTTGGCGGGACGGCCTGATGCCAGGTGGTTCCAAGAACAGGCTCAGAGGAGGCCTGGGTTTGAAGCCAGCCCCTCACGCCCTGGCTGTGTGGTCTCCCCTCTCTGGCCCTCAGTTTTCCTCATCAGCGAACAGAGGAGGCCAACAGCACCCACGGGAGGACTGGGTGGCTGACCGAGGGCAGGCAACAGGGCAGGTACCCGGCAGACTGCAGTAACATTGCAGTGATGGTTATGCTGGCTTCCCACTGCCCCCACCTAAACCTGCTATGGCCCGGAGAGACTCACCATGCTCAGAGATCCGGGCGTGGGGTGGTCCAATGGGGGCTGGGGGGCCAGGGGGGCCAGCAGGCCCTGGGGGGCCTGGAGGTCCCCTCTCTCCAGGGAGGCCTGTAGCTCCGTCCTGGCCAGGGCTCCCTGGGGGTCCCTGTGGACCTGCAACAGAGCCCGGGGCGGGGGGGATGGGTGCGTATTCAGGAGGCAGAGAGGCCCAGGGCAGCTGTGAGGCTGTGGAACAAGGCAGCCTGAGGCATCAGGTAGGAGAGGGCTCTGGAGGCCGCGAGGCAGGGCAACTCCTGGCTGACTTTCCTGGCTGTCCTTTAGGAGCAAAACCACCGCCCTCCCTAGCGCCTTTAGGACAATGGACACTTGGTGCTTAGTAAACGCTGCCTTCCGGAATGTTTCTGGAATGCTGTCTTTGGTCCTTCCAGGCTTTTGCACGAGCTGTTCCCTCTATCCGCCCGCCCTTTGCTATGCCTGGCCTACACTTTGGGCCCCCCTTCAGGCCTCCCCTGAGATGTCACTCCCACTGGGAAGCCCTCCCCATTCCCCACCCTACCTAGGCCGGGCCTGAGATTCCTTCTCTGGGGCTCCCATACCTGCAACGTCTCCAAGAGAACCCTGCTCTCATGGGTGGGCACTGCCGTTTCTCCTCTGCCTAGGCCCACCCTTCCACCATCTGGGAGCTGCAGGAGGGCAGGAACTGGTCTGACCCCACCCCACTGCCTGCTGGGAGCAGCGTCCCAGAGAACATGGGCTGAGTGAATGCAAAAGAGGGTTTTGGGGAGCCCAGCATGAGTAGGGGGCCCTGGAGGGGTAGTGAGCCACAAAACAAGGGAGTGCAAGGGGTCCTGGGCCACCTCTAGACGTCAGGGTTGGGGAAGGAGGGTCCGAGCCCAGGGCCAGCGGGGGGGGGGGGGGGGAGGCGGGGTTGAAGGCTGGCGAGAAACGTTGGGGGAGGGGTAGAGCTGTGGGCACTCACCTGGTGGGCCTCTCATTCCTGTGGGGCCCCGGCTGCCAGTGTCTCCCTTGGGGCCAATGGGCCCGGGAGGCCCCCGGGCACCCACTCGGTCTGGGGGAGAAGTCTCATCAGCTCTGGCCTTGCTCCTGCCCCGCCCCGTCCCCCCAACCCGGCCCCACCTGCACCCACCATCTCGAGGGAGCAGCGGGGCCCTCATGGTCTCTCTGGCTCCCGGTAGCCCTGGAGATGGGGGCGGTTGGAGACAGGGTCTGTGTCATCCAGAGTCCCTGTCCCCAGCTCTGCCGGAGAAGGTGGGGGCAGGATCTGCTGGACCTCCCACAACTCCAGTGCTCAGGGGCCCCTGGAGACCCCGGAAGACCCAGGCCCCGAGGGGGTCAAGCTGGGAGTCAGCAGCAGAGTGGCAGCTGGCCTCTCATTCCCCAACCCACTCCCACGAGGGAATGGTGGCCCACTCACCTCGGAGGCCTCCGTCCCCAGGGCTGCCCTGGGCAGCTGGGGAGCCCCACAGCGGGGCAGGGTCCTCGGGCGCGGTGGGGGTGGGGGGCACTGCCTGCTCAGCAGCAGTCAGCACGGCCACCTGTGGAGGAAGAGAGATGGGGTGGGTGCTGGGGCCTCACCAGGGACAGGCCAGCCGAGGGGCCCCGGCGTGGGGGGCCGGAGGCCAAGGAGCCAGCAGAGCCCTGCGGGCCACATGTGGCCCAGGATGGCTATGAATGCGGCCCAACACAAAATCATAAGCTTATTTAAAACTCTTTTTTTGCTCATCAATTTTCATATTTGCATATTTCATGTGTGGCCCAAGGCAACTCTTCTTTCAGTGTGGCCCAGAGACACCAAAAGGTTGGACACCTCTGGTAAAACTTCATCAGAAGTGACTGGAGTTTTCAAACTGCACAAATCATCACATTTATAGAAAAGTCATTACACACCACCCCCGCCACCCAAGTTGAGTCCTGTGATCGCCGCCATGTTTGCTGGGCGGTGCGGTTTCTTGCTTAGGCTTACCTGCATAAATCATGGGAAACTTCTCCTGGTCTGTTAAAGCACCACAGGCTGAAAGGATTTTTATGGAATTTGAACGGATGTTCGGTAGAGTCTGACATGAAATACCACGAGGTGTTTACAAAACCACTTTGGATGTAGTGTGTGTTGGGGTGGGGGACCCTCAAAGGTCGGCAGTGACCCCTGAGCCACTGACTGAGGATTAGAGAGGCCAGAATGTCTACGGACGGGCGCAGGGGATTGTGTGGGCCGGTCTAAGGAAAAGCCGAAGCTCTGGGGCAGACCCAGAGCCACACCTCTGATCTGGGACTGAGCTGCCCTCTTGCGGGCTCCTCCTGGGAGGGAGCATGGGCAGCAGCGTGGGGTTCTGGGGGCTCCCACGCCTCATAACTGAGGTTCTAGTGCATGCTGTTCAGAAGCTTGGTTGGTTTTTCTACTGGATGTACCAGAGGCATCTTTTCACGTTGGATCATGGAGGTGCTGCCCATGGCTGATACTGCGCTGCGACTTGCTCTCTAGCTACGCAACCACGCCTCCTGTTCTCTGGTTTTCAAATTTCCCTACGAATAGTTAACACTCTAGTAAACATCTTCCCATCTAATCTCCTTCCCAGAGGAAAGACTACGGAGGCAAGTACGTGCAGACACACAGTGTGTGCCTCTGCGCACATTAGACAAGCTGGAAGGAAAGGTGCTTGAGCTCTCTGGGGGTACCGGGGGCTGCTGCGCGTGGTGTCTTAGTAGGTTTTTCAAATTTCTGAAAACATGAGTGCCTTACTTTGTAATTGTTAACCTTTTCATCCTGAAAATAATTTGAGACGTGCCGTATATGATTTGCTTTTAAAACTTGGAAGACAGCATTATGGGAAATGGGGGCTAAAGGATGAAGGTAACAGGCAAGGAGGGGCCCAGCCAAGAGCTCTGGGGGTTTCCACAAATATCTGGCTGGGGTGGGAATGAGGGTGCAAGTTGGGGGAGCGTCATGGGACTCCTGGAGGAAGAGCAGGCCAGGCTGTCTGACTTTGAGCAGCTCCCCAGGGAGGGGAACCAGGCTGGGGAGGGAAGGGAGGCCAAAAACTTGGATGGGAGCTAACGGGAGGGTGGCGTAGGCCTGGCAGGGAAGCTGGCTGCCCGAGGATATTGTGGGGACACTGAGTGTGCTGGGCATGGGGTGCAGGGCCGGGGTGGGAGGCCGTGGGCGAGGGGGCGGCTGCTCACCCACCTTGGCCTCCAGCGCCTTCAGCCGCTCTGCCAGCTCCAATACTTTGCTGCAGTTGACACAACCTGTGGGAGGGAGGAGGCTGGGGCTGGGGCTGGGGGTCCCAGGCTCCCCTTGGAGCCTCTCAGCCCCTGGGGGCAGGATGGAGGAAGTGGACAGACACCTGATGACTAATCCAGGAGACAGCCCAGCACAGGGACAGGGCTGTAGAGAACAGCCCATCTGGGGTGGACCGCGCCCTGCTGGATTCCCCCAGAGCAGGACCAGGGCGCCTACTCAACTCCGGCCGCCTGGGCATCCAAAATGACTCCTTTCCGGGAAGCCAGGGCAGGAAATCCTGTGGCTTCCCACCTGGGCGGGGCTTGCTGGGCTTGCTGGGCTTGCTGGCTTTGGGGACTGACACTTTACAGTGTGGAATGGGCTGGCCCCAGAGGTACACCCCAGCCCTCCCTCCAGGACCTTCGTCCAGTGCCTCCGGCCTCACCAGTGACACCCCTTAGCCGTTCATAATGATCGTGGCCCATTACAGGGTCTCCTGGCTGCCTGGTGTCACGGAACACTTTACAAGCCTCTCCAGTTGTCACCATGATCCTGCATTTCAGGACAAGGGTCACCCCCGTTCACACCTGAGGATACTGAACTCAGAGGAAGGGTGGGTGAGTGCATACCAGGCACCAGCCTGGGGCTGAGTCCCCGCATTGCCCTTTCCTGGCTGTGGGGCCTCACGCACGGCATGTCCTGTCTCTGGCCCTCAGCTTCCTCCTCTTTAAAACGGGGATAATGATGCCTTCCTGGGGGACAGGAACACAGCTGTGAGGTTTAAACACGCTGACGATGGAAAGCACCTGGCCCGGTGTCTGTACGTGTCTGGGGGTCATGGGTCTCGGGGAGTCTGAGTCCAGGTCCAACTCTCCTCGGGGGCTCTTCCTCTCCCCCTCAAAGTTTTCTCTCCAGCCCGGGGCAAGCAAGGGCAGGGCGCCCTTCCTGACCCTCCACTGCCGGACGCAGGTGGCTTTTAGGGCAGTCACCGCATTGGCTGTACCCCCTCCAGGGCTCCCCTCGCCCAGCAGCCACCCCAGGACCCACCTGAGAAGGCTGTGGGCCGCAGTGTCATCCGCCGCATGGTGTTGGCTGACCACCCGGACTCCACGAAGCCAGAGGAGCCTGCAACTGGGGACAGTGGGGACGAGAATCACTGGCGTGCCCCGCCCTTGTTCGATGAGACTCCCTTGCCCCACCTGTCGCTTCAGCCCCAGCAGGCATCTGCGCTCCCCTCAGGGCAGAGGGAGACAGGTGGGGCAGTTTACCTGGGCCACACAGCATGAACTGGGTTGAGCTGGAACAAGGCCGCCAGCCTGGTGGAGCTGGGGAGAGGGGGCTGGCCATGGGAAGGGGCCATGGGTGAGGCCGGGGGCTTCCCCAGGGACCCCAGCAAGCTGCATGTGTTAAAAGCTCAGAGGTAACAGATGCAAGTTTGGGTCCCAGCCCTGCCACTTGCTGACCTGTGTGGCTTGTCCTCTCTGGACCTATTTTCCCATCTGTAAAATGGGGTCATAAGGCCACGGTATCTCCCAGGCTGGCGTGAGGGCTGAGGACGGCGACATGTGCAAAGGGCCCACTGTGTACACGCGGGGCCTGGCACACAGTAGGCACTCAATAAGCGGCGGCTGTGACACGGCTGCCCACCCTCTCCCTGCCCCACTTGGTAAAAAGACACTGAAGTGGATCCAGACCTGGTTTTAAATGAAAACCAGAGGGAGGCTGGCTGCCTGGGAGGGCCAGGGGCCCGTTCCAAGAGCCCACCCCTGCCACCACCCCGACAAGGGGCAGGCTGCCTGGCTGGGCTGGTCTGGGGGCCGGGTTTTCTCCACAGCTGGAGGGACGGGCAGGGGTGCAGCTGGAGGGGCTTTGGAGCCAGCAGGGCCACTGCTCTCCTCTGCCCCCCGGGCCTGCCTTTTAAGGCCAGGAAGTGTTGTCTGGGGGGAGACAAGACCCAAATAAGGCGCAGGCCTGGCAGCTGGGAGCCAGGCTGCGGGCTGGTGCAGGCGGTGAGAGGCGCCAGGAGCTCAAACCAGACTGGTCCCTCTGGCCAGCCCCCAGCAGGGAGGCTGCCAGGCCTGCTCTCGGTCCCCCCACGGGGCTTGTGCTCAGGCCGGGTCTGCATCTCCGGCATCCCTCCTGGGGACCTGTGACTTGCCTGGCACGGGGGGGTAAATTTCGTCCCGGATGGAGGAAGGTGGGTTGGCAGCCCAGGACTGGGGCCGGGGCTAGGGGCTCGGTGGGTGAGAGAGGCGTGTGCCACTGGGAGTCCTGCGCGGAGCCAAGTGTTTTACACAGCCCAGCTCGATCCCGCAAGATAGTAATAATAATAACAGCTAATGCGTGCTTAGCACGCACTCTGGGCCTGGCGCATGCTAAGCGCTTCATACGCACAGTCTGAACTCATCCTCGAAACCCTGAGAGTGGGTGCTAGTAGCACCTCCACTTTACAGATGGGGAAACTGAGGCACAGCGTGGCTCGGATCACCACTCCTCTGTCCCCCATGCTCAGGTAAATGCATGAGTAAATATGAGCATTTCCCCCTGGGGGGAAATGAGGCAGAGCGGCGAAGCAACCGCCGGGTTGTCCGCCTGAAGGCTGGAGCCCGGCTGCGAACCCAAGCTGGTCTGACCCCAGGGCCCAGCCTTCTCTCTCCTGGGCCACCTGGCGCCTTGAGTCAGCCCCCAAGTCCCACTGGGCAGAAGGCGGGAGGCTCAGTGCCAGCAGAAATGCCGCTTTCTGAGAAGAAAGGCCCTGCCAAGTCCTCCTCATTCTCTTTGCTCCCAGGTGAAGATGTAAAAGGCCATCTTCTTAACCTTTTCAGGAAGGTGATGAAAAGAGCAGTCCACTCTCCAAGCCCGTGGAAGCCTGGATTTCTCTGGAGGAGGCTTTGGCATGGCCTGCCCTCCGCGCTACCCTGCTATGGTTTTCCTTTTCTCTCTATGGCACTTTCCACTCTCTAACATGTCATTTGCTGCGCCAGCTCCCCAGTCTCCTGCCACCGTCGGCCCGCCTGGCTGGAGCCTGCAGCCCACCCGGGCAGGGACCTCCTGTCTTGTGCCTGGAAAAGGGCCTGGCGCACAGTAGGGCCTCAGCAGCCTGAATACATCTTTTGTTGACGAATGCATGAATCACTGGTTAAAAATGAATTTAAAGCGTGCAAACAAAATAAAAAGAAACATAAAGAGATAGCACACATTATCTTCTTGAAAATGAGCATAAGTGTTCTCACGTCACACTAGGATGTCCCTGAGTCATAAATGCCTGAACTTGTGGTTGAAAATTATTTTTTGACCCATTTGCTTTCGGACATTTCACCAGGAGCCAGAGAGAACTAGAAAAACTAATGGAAACCTGGCCTGACCACATATAACTGGCTCGAAGTAACTGTGAGTTAAAATTAAAAAGAAAAAAGAAAATTAAAAGAAATAACAAAACTGTCAAAAAAAAAACAACCACCCTAGAAAATGTCGGCTTTGGATTCAGGATTCACAAAACATTGTCCTCCAACTCTCCCAGATTCTGACAAAGGGGCAGGAATACTTTACAGGGCAAACCAGGTGTACAATGGTCCTGCAGCACATCGGTTTTCCAACAGAGAAAAGCCACAGGTTGAAGGGGAGGTCTCCTGTAGGACAAAAATGTCACATCCTCCCACTGGTGTTACGCAAGGGCACCTGGAGCAGTCCCCTCACCCCAGCCTGGTGGTCCGTCCTGAAGAGGAGCCTCTTCCCAGCCCCACTCACCCTCCCAGGAGTTCCAAGCTGGTCCCAGGACCACAAACCCCAGCTCCACTCTGGCAGCCTGACTTCGGGCCATTTCCCACCACCTGGGAGGTCCCCACCACTCTCTCTCTCTCTCTCTCTCTCTCTCACACACACACACACACACACACACACACACACACAGCCTCCCCACCTTCATCCCCACAGCTGCTGCTCCCATACCATCTCCTCCAGGAAGCCTTCCTGGACAGAACAAGGCATCCACCAATACCACGCCCCCACCACTGAAGCTATCATCCCTCCCTGCCTTGACCTCCACAAGGCCAGTGCCATCGGCAGTTTCTAGCCCTGTGCTCCCATACACAGCTGCTCTTCTGCCCTGGCTGGGTAGCTCAGTTGGTTAGAACATCACCCCTGTACACCAAGGTTGTGAGTTGATCCCTGTTCGGGGCACCTACAAGAGCCAACCAATGAATGCATGGGTAGGTCGAACGATGAATCAATGTTTCTCTCCCTTGCCCTCCTTCTTGCTAAAATCAGTCTATAGACATTTAAAAAAAAACAACCCTGGCTGGTGTGGCTCAGTGGATTGAGCGCCGGCCAGTGAATGAAAGGGTCGTTGGTTCGATTCCCGGTCAGGGCACATGCCTGGGTTGCGGGCCAGGTCCCCAGTTGGGGGCGCGTGAGAGGCAGCCACATATTGATGTTTCTCTCCCTTTCTTTCTCCCTCCCTTCCTTGCTCTCTAAAAATAAATAAATAAAATCTTTAAAAACATTTTTAAAAAAAAAAAAACAAGAAGCCATTAAAAAAAAAAAAGCAAAGCACTGCCCTTCCCTCTGCCTGGTTGCTGGGCCTGAGCTGAGCCTCTGCGCCCCTTCCCATGCGACCCTCACTAGAGCACTGAGGCCCAGAGAGGCTGCCCGTCCACACAGCAGGACGGGGCGCTGGGACTGAACCCTGCTCTAGGCTGTTCAGCGGTGGCGGGGGAGCCGTTGGGGGTGCCCTGTGTGCTCTGCCTGACTTCTCTCCCAGAAGGGGAGCCAGGAGAAGGGCTTCCTTGTTCACAAGCCACCCCCCAGGGCAGCTGGGTCCAGTAACCACGGGCCACAGGGGATAGCTAGCCTCCCCAGCCCCAGCCCAGGTCTCCTCCAGGGAATTTACTTTGCAAATGTAAATATTTGCTGCTGTTGGCTTGAGCCAGGGACTGGGGTCAGGGCTGGGGCCGGGAACTCCAAGAACCTCCTGCAGGCCTCTGAGAAGCTTCAGTCTGTGACTAGCCTGGCCTCTTCTTTGGGGTAAAATGAGGTTCCCACTCATTTCCTGTGCACCCACTTTATGCCAGGCCCATGCCAGGCACTGGAGTCACAGAGTAGTGATGGCAGGGTGGGGGCCACCAGAGCCAGGCAGTAGCTCCTGCAGGTTCACAGGCGGAGGGGACAGCCCCTGCCTCGACCATGGAGTGGGAGAAAAGGCCAGCGTGGGCTGGGGGTGACACGGAGAGAGGGCGAGGCCAGGGTGGCTGGGAGGGCGGAGAGGGGAGCTGCCTGGCTGGGGGTGGAGGGTGCACCGGCCAGGGGCTGGGAGTGGGGCTGCCAGGCCTCCTAGACAGCAGCGGCGTGAACGGCAGCAAGCACAGTGTTTCACCCAGGACTCTGAATCCACAGAGTAAAGCACAGCTGCGGCATTAGGTCAGTGTGTGAAAGATGGGAAGAGACCGAGCGCTCAAGAAGGGCCCAGGCTGGAAACTCCAATTTGCTCTTAAGATTAAAAAAAAATTTTTTTTTTGAGAGAGGGGGAAGAAGGGAGAAAGAGAGGGAAAGAAACATCGATCGATTGCTTCTCACATACGCCCCAACCAGGTCTGAACGCACAACCTAGGCATGTGCCCTCACCGGGAATCAAACCTGCGACCTTTCGCTTGCAGGGTGACACCCAACCAACTGAGCCACACCAGTCAAGGCTGCTCTTTTGCTGTGTGACCTTGGGCAAACTTCTTCCCCCTCTGGTTCCCCATCATGGAAGACAAGGGCTGTGGGGCTCCGCAGACAGGGAAGGTACATGTGCGGTGAGGACAGTGGGACAGAGGGCGAAACAGAGGCAGCCTGGCTCCGGGGAGGCCCATGGGAGAGGAGGGCAAGGGAGCCCCCAGTTCCTCTGTCTGTCTGGCAGGGCCCAGGGCTGAGATTGGCTTCTGCAAGCCCCATGGTGCCCCAAACGTCTGAGCACACTCCCCCTCCTGAAGGTCCTCAGCCACCACTGCTGTGGAAGGAGGATCTTGGCTCGGAGTCAGACCAATGGACGCTGAGTCCCACTGTGACCCAGAGCAAGGCACTCCCTCTCCCAGCCTCAGGTGCCACATCTGGGCCCTCTGCACTGTGACATGATGGCATGAGGCAGGTGAGTATGCCACACTCCTTGGCACGGAGGATGGTGGCAACTTTCTTTCCCCTCGTCATTTCTCCTATGAGAGGGTCTGAGGCAGGGGACGCTGCAGACCTCAGGTCAGAGCCCTGGGGACAATCCTGGCCACGACGCCTGCCTGCTGTGTGATTTTGTGTGACACCCACACCCTCTCTGAGCCCCACTTTCACTGTCTGAGCAATGGGGCTGATGGGCAAGACATCTGTCTGCACGGTGACACGGTAGCCACAGCAGAGCCGGCCAGCCCAGGCCACTGGGCAGGTCAGGACCAGCCCAAGTAGTACATTTGGGCCTTGGACTTCCGTGCCCATTGCTTCCGGAGGAGCCTCACCTCCAGGCTCCCCGGCAGCCACCCAGCCCCGCCGCCAAGGCCTGGAGGCGCTGCCTGCTGCCTGGTCAGGCAGGTCCCAGGCCCACTTTCATGGGCTGAGTAGCCCCAGGCCAGTCCCTTCACCTCGCTGAGCCTCAGTTCCCCCACGTGTAAAAGGTCCACTCCAGTCCCTCCCTCATGGGCAAGAGACCACCCTCCCGCATCACCGGGAACATTCCCATTATGCAGATGGCAAAACCAAGGCTAAGAGCTATGGAGTCCACGGCCTCATGGTCACGTCTGGAAACTTGAGGCCTGTTTGCTGAGCAGCCAACTGAGAAGTAGGGTCTTAGACATGGGAGACAGGGCAGTTCCTGAGAGCCACCAGCGAAGCCCTAGCACAGGGGCCAAAGAGAGGATGACATTTATGGAGCATCGACTATGGGCAAAGCATGAGTGAGTCTCCTGTCCTCATAATAAGGCATGAAGTGGGTACTTTCCAACCTCAGGTAACTTCCCAATAGAGATGAAGTTCAGAGAGGTGAAGTGACTTGTCCCGGGTTACACAGCTGAGTGCAACTGAGTGAAATGGTGGGTGGTCCCTTTCCTTTAGCTCATCACAGGCTGCTCTGAGCCCTGTCACCCCTGGTGACGCAGCTCCATGGCCCCAAGGTCACGTCACAGCACTGCGCAGACCACAACGGCAGTTGCCAGCAGGGGAAACAGCTGGGGGAGCCGGGCCTGAACCTGGTGGTCAGAGGAAGGGCAGGGCCCGGGATGAGCTAGCAATGTCCCCATGCCTCCTCACTGCCATTCTCGGGGCCCCGGAGGAGCCGTTTTCCAGAATGTCCAGGCCCAGGCATCCGTTTACTCAGCCCCTGCCCCGTGGGTGGGGAGAAGCCGGCCCTTCTTGTCCAATCTGGCTTTTCCTAGTGCCCACCGTGGGCCCACACACCACCTGCAGGGTCTTTACTGCTTCATCCCTGGGAGGCAGACGATCACCCCGACCGTACCCCAGGTGAGGACACTGAGGCTCCGTGCAGGTGCCCCGCTGCTGCAAGAGCAGCTTGGTGCCCTTTAGTGAAGGTGCCCCTCCCTCTCAGGGGCACGAGCCCAGTGCTGCTTGAACCGCAGGCTCCCTGCCCCCTGGACGGCCCTTGCACGAGGACATGCACGGTGCACAGGGAGTCCCCGGCCCAAGGCCACGCAGCTGGTGTGTGGTAGAGCTGGCCTGGCCCATGAAGCCCGGGATAACCCCGTCCCCAGGCTGGGACCTGAAGGCCCTACAGAAGGAGCTGGCAGGCAGCGGGGTTGGCCTGGCCCAGCCAGACTTGTTCTCCTGCCTCACCACTGGAGAGAGCTCCCACCCTTAGCCCGGTGTTCGGATGCAAGGCCTCCTGCTGCCGGACTCAAGGGCATGAGTGCTGCCCCCGGCTGTCCCCTGTCCTCACCCCCTCCATGATGGCACCACACACCCGGGAAGGTCTGGGAGGGGAGCCAGGGACAGAGCGGTCTCCGCCTGGGTGGGCCCTGCCTGGGCTCAGGGCCTTTAGGCCCACATGGCCTCCGCCCCCTGGGGATTTGCTCCCTCCCCGCCACTAGCCCTTCTGTGGCCTCCTTGGCAGCAGCCCCTCCTGACAGGCTCCCCTCCTGGACCCCAGGGTCCTGCTTTCCCCTCTTTCTCCCCCCAGGGAGGGGAGGGTGCCGTTCCTGGCTCCCCTTACGCCTGCCCCTCTCAGCCTCCCCCACTGGCCTAGGTGGCTGTCTCTCTGTAAGGACCCCTGCTGGGCTTTGGGCTCCTCCCCAGTTCCATTGAGGACTCCCCCACCCCCATCAAACCCATCAGGGTCTCTCTGGCTCCACTTTGTGGTAAACTCTGCTTTCGACCCCACGTGCCTCTGAGCGTTCCATCCACTCAGGTCTTTGGGCCTCTGTTGCCCACTCTGTGAACCGGGTCTGTGGTAGGGTCCCAGGGAGGCGAAGCACATGAACCTTTCAAGAAGCGCCCATGAACAGTGACTTCTGTTAGCATCACATTCCCTTGATCCGGTGTCTGCTTTACACACGTTCGTGTTTCTGGCATCAGAATACATCTTGCAGCTGATGTTCACATGAACATGCTGCTTTGGGGTCCTGAATGGTCTTTCTATCGAGGTGCTTACCAGCCTGGTTCTCAGGCTGGTTCTAGGCCAGTCCATCCTCTTTAGAGCCGTTCTTGGAAACACAACCCTTGGTGCCCCAAAACCCTCCTCTCCCTGGGTTCAGCCAGGCAGCAGGGTGGGGGTGGCCTGGACCACCTAGCAGGGGAGGCCTCACCAGGTGACCGTGTGGCCAGGCTCCCGGGAAACCCAGGCTGCCTCCTCTGGGACCCTGGTGGGTGCGCAGCCCTGAGCCACCCCGACGGCGCACAGAGTGTGGTGTGGGCTGAGCGGGGTCCCTCTGCCTGGGATACGCGTCCCCCCGTGCGGCGCCCATTGGAGTCCTCCCATCCCTGAGGCCCCCTGGGGAGCCAGGCAGACCACGGTTCCAGTCCTGATGCCACTTGGGAGCTGTGTGCCTACTGCCTTCCTGAGCCGCAGTTTCCTCCCCGGCAGGAAGGGTGACCTTGCTGACCCCCTGGCCTAAGTGGTGCTTTGCTCCCATGAGCTGTTCCCATAGCCCATGGAAGTGTCTGGGTTTTCCCCATGTTTGGAGGAAAGGCTTGGGATGGAATGGCTTAAGGCGTGAGCTATGTAGCATGTATTAAATTTCCCCAGGGGTTCTGAGAGTCTCCCACGAGGCAGGCCGACCCCTGTGGGGCAGCAGATGCCAACTGTGTCTGAGCCATGTCTCTCTGGCAGCTCTATGAAGGGGACCGCGGTGTGGACGGGACTGCGTGCAGCAGCGCCTACCAACTTAGCAACGGTGTGCTGCTCCCTCCCACACACCCTCGGGGAAGCACGTGACCCAAACCTGGGGCAGTCCTACCTTCCTCGCAGCTGGCGCCCGAGTGCCCGGGGCAGCACCTCCACTCCCGAGCGGTCACTGTCTTGTACATCACCTTGTATGTGGGTCTCACCACGGTTCTGTAGCTGAAAGAGTGACCAGGTGGCCCAGCTCAGGCAGGGTCCTCTGCTGTTTCTCCTGCTCTTCCGTGGGGACAACCCAGAGCCCTCAGGGTCTCCTGTCCCCTCCAGGCCTCTTTGGAGGCTCTCTCCTCCTGCACTCGAGGACTCAGCCCTTCTATTCCTTTCTGACCTTCCAGCCTTGCACATCCGGATACCAACTGGATAGGAAACCCCTGCAGGCTGAGCTGGCCTGTCCCTAACAGTGAATGCTCACTGAGTGAAGGCATGTGGGTGAGAGATGGAACCCCTCTTCCAGGAAGCCCTCTGGGGCGCCCGAGCATACAAGGGGAAGTGCTGAGAATGGGCATAGGGCCAATGTCCCTCTGCTCCCCCCACCCCGGGGTCCCAGCCCCCCCCCGCCCCCCACACACCCACTGCACTCCCACCACCAGGCCTTGGCCCGTGCTGTGCCTCCACCTGCAACTCCCTCAGCTCCTTCTCTGCCACGGGCTCACTCACCTGTTCCCCGGGCAGCTCATAGGCCAGGGGCAATTCTGCAGCACTCGCTGAAGGTATGTGCCATTTTGCACATGGCATGAGATGGTGCGGGTCACCACGTACGAGCACCAGTTCCTGAAACAGACCCACAGAGAGGAAGCTCGGGTGCCACACACAGTCCCCTGCCCAGGACCCCGGGGGTTCGATACAGGATCCCCGGGTCTCCAGGCAGGGAGACCCCTGAGCTCCCAGAGTCCTTTGGGCCCCAGTTGGGAGTCTGTGTTGCTATGGATGAGGAGCGAACTCCACAGCCCTAGAGGGGGTGGCCATGCTGGGGGAATCTCAGCAGGTCATGGTGAACGAGCTTCGGGCGTCAAGACAGGAACAGGGCATCTTTGAGGGGCATCTCCCTTCTCAACTCTTTCCTCTCAAACCCTGACCCATCCCCACCGCCATCGCCTCCTGCCTCCCACCCAGCAGTGGCCCCTCCATCTTGCCCTTCGCTCTCTCCCCAGAAGGGGTATAATAAATGGAAACCTGGCCTTGTCTACCCCACCCTCAGCCCTTGAGAGCTCTTGGGCCCCGTCTGCCTTAGAGCCCTGGCCGCCAGGCCTTTGCTCAGTCTGGGCCCCTGCCTGGAGCGCCCTTCCCCCACCTCTCCACCCTTCAAAGCTCTGCTGTGCTGTCACCTCTCCCCTTGTCTTTTCCCACCTCCACCTCCGTCTCAGCAGAGCTGATGGTTCCCTGCCTTGGATCCTGCCGCACCAGGTATACCTGTCATGCTGAATTAAGCTGGTGATTCACATCTGCCCCCTCCCTGCCCAGGCATGCAAGAGGAAAGGCCCTGTCTCGCTTATCCTCATGTCCCCTCCGTGTGACAGCTGTGATGTAGTGTCCCAAGCATGGAGGACTGGCTTCTCCAAATGCTAACTAATCATAGTGCACTGCATATATTGAGCGCCTACTGTACGCTAAAGGCATTTACAGCATCTTCCCACAGTGATCCAGGAGGGTGACTCCATTTTACAGAGGGGTAAACAGAGGCTCGGGGGGCAGGGGAGTGGGAAGCGCTCATGTCGCAGAGCAGGTGCGCGGTGGATCCGGATTTCGACCCAGGGATACGGATGACCCAGCCTGGCCCCTAACTCCATCTCCGAGGCCTCCTCTCCTGTCTCCTCTCCAGCCCTGAGCCGCGGTCCGGTCCGTAGCTCTGTGAAGGCCCCAGCCTGGGAACTTGCTGACCCCGGGTTCCGGGCCACAAAGGAAAGCCACAAAGGGCTCAGGCTGAGAAGGGTCACCTGAGACAGCCCCTTTTCCCAGCCCTGGCAAAAGACGCGGGGCCCTTGACCTCCTGCCGGGCTGAGGGCCACTGAGCACCTGGAATGTCCCATCGTCGCAGAGCTGCCTGCCACCACTGAAATCCAGCCCCCTGTCGGCTGCCCCGCCCCTACCCTGGCCCACCTGAATGAGAAAGTCCTCGGCTGGGACCAGTCTACGAACTTGATGTGCAATCCTGGGGAAATCCCTTTGCTGTTCTGTGTCACGCTGGAGTCAGTCCAGGAGGAGGAATCAGCTCAGCCAAAGGCATGGAAGTGGGAAGGCAGGGAGAAGGGATGTCTGAGGTGGCAGAAGCTCAAGAGAGCCCTGAGCCAGCCACCCCACGGAAGAGGTGACAGGCGCTTGGGGCAGTGCCATTGGGAGTGGTGAAAAACTGGGGACAGCCTAAACAGGGCCTCTAGACACGGATGCCGGGAAAGAGCCCAAGGTCTCCATGTGACGACCACTGTGCCTGGTTAAGGGGAAAAAGCCCATGCAGACCAACAGAGAAAGACTGCATTCCTATCACACTAAGAAAGAAAAAGAAAGCCAAAAGACCATGTATACATATGTGCACATACATAGCCGTGTGTGCATAAAGTTAGGAAAAAGCTCACGCCCACATCAAATTGCCACCTCTGGGGGCAGGGAGGGGCTTTCCACAGGTCCCATCTCCTGTGCTCACGGCAGCCCCCAGCCATGCGTGCCGGGCGAGAGCTGGGCCCGGACCGTCCACACGCCTGATTACAAGTGCCACTTTACAGATGGGAGGGCTGAGGCTCCGGGGTCTGGAATGTACCTACACACCCATGGCGTGTGACCTGGTCATGGTTGGAGCTCAGGTCTCGTCTGTCTGATCCCAGAGCTTGTGTTCTTAACCTTATGCTGGAAATGTTTTTCCTAACGAGCAGGTGGGGATTTTTATAAGTTTAATAAGAAACCTCTGGGTCCCTGGAACTGTGGTTTTAAACCCGTTGGGGTTTTGTTTGGGAAAGTGATGTGAATTGTGTCTCCTCCCCAGAAAAATGCACCAAATTTGGAGTATAAGTTCAGGGGGACTCAGGGGCTCCCTGCGGCCTGTGAAGACCCCCAGCCTGGCCCAGGGACGTTGTAAGGGAAGGAAGGAGGGAGGGAGAGAGCAACCTGGGCAGAAACAGAAGCTCCCGACACAGGAGGGGGCCCTGGGCACAGAATGAAGACCACATGCCAGCAGACAGACACATGCACATAGTACACACACATCAATATGCACACAGCGGGCACAAGGCACACAGACACTCATGCACACAGACTCACGTGTGCATATGGGCATGCAACTCCCATGCCTACACACAGACACATTGAAGGACGCACATACGCTTGAGCACACAATCAGGCCAAAGCAAACCCTACAGAAATGACTGTCCTCTTTGTACTAGGGCCTGCGCCTGCAGACGCACGGCTGTGCACCCTCACAAGGGCGCCTGGGCTGTGCCGGGGGACACGGGCCTGCGACTGCACACAACTGCCCAAGCTGCCCCTGTTTGGAGAGCTAGAGAAAACAGTTTTTTCCATCTTCCTTAATTAAAATCCCCCCCTTGTGGGTCACTGCATGGCCCCTTGGTTCATTTCCCACGAGGTGGAGTTTGCTTGAATCCTCTGCCTAGGAGACATGGAGCTGGTAGGGGCTGACTAGACGTTTCAGATAGGAGGGACCACTTGGGCCAGGTGGGATTCAAGGGTAGCCCTTCATTCCTTTCCCCTATTGGAGGGGTTCACCAATAACCATGCCTCACCCCGCCCTGGCCTTTAAGACCCCAAGCTGCTGCCCTCATGATGAGCTCAAGCTCCCCCACAGGGTCTCAGCTGGGCCCGTGGCCGCCCGGTGGCCCGGGTCCACTTTCTGGAAGCAGCAGGAGCTCTTGTAGAGCACAGACCTATCGCTGCCACTGCCCGCCGTGGAGTCTGCGGCTATGGCTCCACCTTACCCTGTGACCCCTGACTGCTCTGTCCACATGCTGCTCCCCACTCCGGCACCCTCCTGAGCCCCTCTCTGACCTTCCTGCCCTCCCTCCCATGGGCTGCATTCTCCCACTCCTCAGGTCTTTGCATACTAGGTTCTCTCTGCCTGGAAAGCCCTCCCCCTGCTCCAGCAAACTCCAATTCATCATTGGGGTCTCAGGGCTGAGGACCCCAGCAGAACTGGGCGTCTCCGGGGGCTGCAGCAGCCCTGGGCGTCTGGGGGAAGGACGGTGTACCAAGCCAGCATGGGGTTCAGCCTGAGGGTGCGCGGAGAGGTTTGCTGAATGGCTGAGGGCCGGGGCCCTGGGCACAGGAGCCAGGACCCAGGTTCCCAGAGACCTTTGCAGTCCCTGGAAGCCCCGCCTCAATCCTGCTGCCCCTGGGGACTTCCTTGGCTGGGATGTGGTAGGTGATAAGCTGCCGAGAACCTGGTGAGGTTGGGCCACTTCCGGTGGGACGGGGTAAGGGCACGGCTGGGAGCCCTCCTCTCCTGGGACTGCCACTTCTGCCCACTCAGCGCCTGCTGGGCCCCCAGAGGCCACTGGGGGAAAGAAAACAGGCCAGACCAGCTCAGCCTGGCACCCGCTGCCCCCACTAGACCCCCCCCCGCCCCTGCCCCCACCCCCAACTTGCCCTCCACCTCCTGCCATGAGGGGCCCAGGGGACTTTGTCTCTGCGGGGCCCAGGGCTGCGATCCGGAACAGCGATAGGGGCTAATTGCAGGAGGCAGCCAAGCGGGCTGGGGGCCAAGGGCCGTTATGAAAAGGAGAGGAAAGAAAGGAGATGTACCGGGTGGGGGTGGGGTGACTAGGGCCAGAACCCCGCACCGAAGTTCTAGGCCTCGCTCTGCTGCTTCTTAACTCGGTGACTGTGGACCAGGCCCTGGCCCTCTCTGGGCCTCACTTTGTCCATCTGCAAAAGGGGACAGCAGGCTCTCCTCTGGCAGGGCAGGTTTCACACAAAGTGCCTGGCATGGTGCTAACACCTATTGGTAATGCTTGTTCCTGGACTGTGACACGGGCCCCACAGCCCACAGCTGGGGTCCACGGCCTTCCCTGGGGCCTAGGGGTACCAGCACAGTATCTTCCACACAAAGTCCCCCCCGTGGCTGCAGGATAGGGACTGTCAGGCTCCGCATTTTACAGAGGGGGAAACTGAAGCTCCGGAGAAGTCACCTACCCAGGTCCCCCACGTGGGTGTGGAGCTGGGATCTGAGCTCTCTTGCGGGGGGGTGGGGGAGCGGGGGGGGGCTAGGAAGCGAATTCTCCACTCCCCCTGATCCTAGGACTGGCCCACAGGAAGCCCGTGCTGCAGGGGGAAGAGGCCTGGGCCAGGACACTGGCGATGGCTTTAACTCTAGACAAGGGTTCAGGCTGGAAGGGACCTCTGAGGGGCAGGAAGCAGTCCCAGCAGGATAGGGGGACGGACAGGGGTCGGGGTGAGCCAAGGCAGCTCCGCACGGCCCTGGGGCACCCTGGTTCCGGGGGTCTCGAAGTCTCACCACATTCCTGGGACTGGGGGCGGCCCCTTGGATGCCTTCCCAGGCCTCCCCCTCCCCAGACACAAAGCCTCTTTTCTGCCTCTTGTCCCTTGGCTGCCAAGGGGCGCCTGGGGCGCCGGGCTAGCGGGGAGGGAGGGCTGGTGGGGCGAGACATCCCCATGCTGTCTCCAACGATGCTGGGATGAGGCCACAGGGGGAAGTCCTGGCAGCCAAGGACTACAGACTCCTCCAGTCCCTTCCCCCACCTAATGTCAGTGATAGCAGGAACCTCTACTCTATGTCGGGCCGAGCTGGTCCTTCCCAGGGGGGACTGTCCAATCCGAGATCAGGCCTGTGAGCAGGGGACAAGGGCAGGCAAGAGGGAAACCATGAGGAAGCTGAGAAGGAAAGTGAGACCCAGGGCTGTGAAGTGACCTGTCTGACCGTCACACACTGGGAGAGCCAAGGCCAGAACCCCTAACTCCTACCCAGGACCTGCACACCTTTACTGAACCTGCAAGCTGGCGGCCTCTGCTGGGTGGCAATCACGCTGGGATTTGGGCACTGGCCGGCCTGGGCTCAGGAGCCCCTGCTCCTTTCTAGGCCTCAGGCTGTATCTAGGGATTCTGTGATGCTCAGGCCACTGTGAGCCTTCTGTGAACACGAGGGTGACAGTCCCCAGGAACCACCAGATACCTCCCCACAGCCACCATCCTGCTCCCATCCAGGACGCCCTGTGGGGCGAGGAACCCAGGCTGGAGGCCCTGTCCTGGACTAGCTGGGCGGCCAAAGGGCGGGCCGGACCCTAAGTCCTCTCAGCCACCACCCTGATCCTGACAACGAGAATTCCCAGTTCAGCGCCTCGGTCATCTTAGCATCTGGGATCCTGGGGGTTCACACTGATGTCCTGGGCAGGTCATATCCCCTCTCTGAGCCTCAGTTTCCTCCTCTATGAAAAAGGGACCATAGAAGTGCATGCCTCCTAAGGCAGACGGGAAGATTCTGGAGGCGACAGACGCAGGTGAAACCCTCAGCCCAGGCCAGCGGTGGTCAGCATGCAGCAGGTGGTGACTGTGACATCTGCCACCTCTCCATCCCTGTCTCAGACACCCGGTCTTCTGGCCTCTGAGCCTCAGCCACCTCTCCCCTCCAGCCCTGCCAGAGCCACCTGCTTGTGCCAGCCCAGCAGGGGCATGCTGACCCCTGACCACTGAGCAAGGAGAATTTCTGAAGAGAATTAAAGAAGTGAAGCCACAGGCGGTGGGGGCCGGGCACTCTGTTGAATGGATGAAAAGGCCCCTAGAGGCCTCGTTACTATTCTCTATTGCCTGCCTGGCTGGCCCTTAAGAGGGGACTCGGGCAGAGGTAAGGGCTGCAGCCAGGACAGGGGCCAAAAAGACACAGATCTGAATCCCAGCTCTTCTAGTAACGATCCATGAGCCTAGAAGATTAGGTTAATTTTCTGGGGCCTCAGTTTGCTCATCTGCTAAGTGGGAGCAAGTGTTCCCCAATCTCTTCCAGCCCTTGAAGGGTTAATGAGGACACCACCTATAAAGGGCCCCTCACTGCTGCTGGAAGATGCTCCACAAACACCAGCAGAGACAAGGTCCTCAGCTCCTGCCAGAGCGGCAGGAAGACCAAGTACTCCCTCCTATCTCTGTCCGAAAAATGCCAGGTCCCTGGGGGCCGACACTAACCCAAGGGCATCGAAACTCCACCCCCGGCTTTTTCCTCCCAGTGAAATAAATAGCCGGCACTAAAAAAAGCCAGGAGCAAGGAAAAGGGAGGAGGGTCCTCGAAGTGTCAGCCAGGGGATGTCCTGGGCTTCCCTAACTGCAGGGCCGGGGTTGGAGGCGGGGTGGAGGCTTGGGTTAGGGGGACGGAAGTCTTGGGGATTCTCCCCGTTGTTCGCCTTTCCCCTCCTCTAGGGCTCTGGGGTGAAATGGTGGGGGGATGGAGGAGGCTGCCGGGGACCGGGGAGCTGCCGGCTCCAGACCCATGGAGTAGGGGACCTCAGCACTTCTGGGAGCCTCTGCCGGGTAGTGGGGCGAACCAGGGTCCCTGCCCCCACCCGGGCTGGCACTGCGGTGGGGGACAAGGTTCCTTCCCCAATTCCGGGCTTGCATGAAGGTTGCGGGGAGCAGAGCGGGTGCAGGGAGTGCCTGGAGTCCCGGCCCCCATCCCCGGGCTCGCAGGGCGCAGAAGTGAGTGGCGGCGGGGCCAGCCCTTACCTGCGTCCCGAGAACGGGGCTCCCCCGACGCTCCACGCAGCGCTGCCTCCCGGGAGCAGGAGCCCGAGGCAGAGCAGAGCCCAGGCCTGGGGGCCGCCCATGCTGCGCCCGGCGCCCTCTGCGCGCGGCCCCTCGCCGCCGCCGCCCCCAGCCTGCCGTCCACGCCCGCCCGCGCCGCCAGCCGCCCCGGACGCGCGGATCCCGGTTCCCAGCGCAGCGGCGGGAGGGCGGGAGGGACGGAGGCGGGCGCGGGGCGGGGGCGCGCATCCCGGCCTCGCCCGGCCCCTCGGCGCGGCCCCCCGCCCCCTGCGCCGCCGCTGCCAACCCGGAAGGAGCCCCGGGGGGCCGGGCGTCCCCGCCAGGAGGCCCGTCAGGTGCCCACCTGATCCTGGCGCTCTGCGCCTTGTGGTCCTTTGGGTGCGGGGAGCCAGTTCGGAGTTGCCCTCCCACGTGTTGCAGACTGAGGAACTGAGCCCCGGGGCCGTGATCTCGGAGCCGTCCCAGGCACATCCAGGACCCGAGGCTGCCAAACCTGAGCTAATGATGGGGGAGCCCCATCCCCCTTTTTTTGAGGGATCTAGTTCCGGAGGCACGTGGGATCGGTCCGTCCATGCAACAAAGGCTTCCTGAGCAGTGAGCGCCACTGCGTGCAGGACACCTCACCTTCGCCTTATGCCCTGTTTCAGTTTAACCTTTCCACCACTCTGGGAGAGATGGGCACAATTAACCCCATTTTACAGGAAAGAAAACTGAGGCCAGGCCCTCATGGTCTCCCTGGGAGGAGAAGTCCTGATCTAATCCCGTAAGGCCAGCGTCCACTCCTCGCTATATTACAGGTGGAGAATCCGAGGCACAGAGAGACCTCCTTTGCCTAAAGTCCTCCACCAGTGGCTGGAAGAGCTGGGTTTTGAACAGAAACCTCCTGACTTCAGAGCGGGTCAGCTCTTAAGTACAATTAGGGAAGAGTGTAGACAGCATAGAGAGGAGTTTCTTCATCCGGGGCACATGGATGGGCCAGCCTCTGGGGGGAGGGCTGCGGGCACTACCAAGGTGTAAGCACATGCATGTTTGTGATGCATGTGTGTGTGCAAGTAAGATGGGCGTGTGTGTGTATGGGGAAGGACCACGGTTGTTATCAGAGGGGACCCAGAACCCTCCAAAACTCCAGGATAGCCTCTAACCCCCTTCTGCCTGAGTGATGTGCAGCAGGCGGCTCTGGGCTGGGGAGCCCCCGTCCAGCGTGGTGGTGCAGTGGGGGCCTGCCCCTCAGAATCCCCTCCGGTGTTTGTCCAGATCCGAGAGCTCTGCTAGAAACTTGCCAGAGAGAAGCACCTGCCCGCCGCTCCCTCTGACTTTGAGGACTGCCTCTCCCGGACTCACCAGGGCGGGCAGCACCAGGCCCGGCCCGAGTCAGGACAGGGGCGGGTGTGCTGATTCTGAGGGGGCTGGCCCCCGGCCCCCCGAGGGGGCGGATGGGTAATGCGGGCTGGGTTCAAACCCTGCCTCTGCCACCTCTGCTGAGTTAGCTTGGCCAGCCCTGCCCTGCTTTGAGCCTCAGCTTCTCTTTGTAAGGAGGAAAATTGCACATTCCTCATGGGGCGTGGGCAGGAATGAGAGAGCACGGCAATGTCCTGACACCCACTTTCCCCTGCTTCACATGGCCCCCCAAGGGCAACCCACGTGCTCCAATGACATCCTCATGGTGCCAACTTTGTCCCCTTGGGACGCTCCCTCCCCTCCTTCCACATGTGGTTTGGGCTTACCTACTATGTGCCACCTATCTGATCCCCCAAGAAATGCAGCTTTGCACCTCTCTAGTTAGTCCTTGTTTTTGACACAAGTAGATCAGTGACTTAATCCCTTGGGTGGCGTGTCATTCTCAAGGGGCCATCTCCTGAGAGAGAGAGAGGCCCATCTTCAGCCTGGTCAAGTGGCCTGGATCAAAAACCATCTTTCCAAAGGGCACTTTGAGGGGCACGCAGCTCTTTAGGAAGGAGAAGAGCTGGGCAGTGGCTCATGGGGAGGCTCTTGGAGGGCCTGTGAGGTGGCTGGGACCCGGATGGGTACCGCAGGATGAGGGGACACTGCCAGGTCTGTCTGCAACATGTCCAAGGTGCTCCTGTGATTAATGGTGTGGTCTTTCCTTTCCTACCAAGCTCATGGGAGCTTGAGGCCACTGAAGAGTTTCTCCACCAAGGGACCCTCTTGGTAAAAGTTGTTACCAACATTTTGACATCAGAGGGATTCTCTCCTTACTGAGGCAGGGACCCCTTTGGCCAGGGTATTTACTTATTACTACAGCCACACCCTGTGACAGTATAGCCTGGTGGTTATTGCATAGGCTCAACACCCCGTAGGCCTCGATGTCCCTTCCTGTGTGATGTGGGATAAGATACCTCCCTCTCTGGGCCTCACTTTCTTGTCTGAAAAATTAAGTCATAGGACCTTTTAAGATCCCTCTGGCTCAAGAGTTCATGCCTCTGGGAAAATATGAGGGCTTTGGGTGTCCCTATAGGCACAGCCCAAAGCCCTCCTTATTTTATTGTATTTTTTCATTACCATTTATTCCCCTTATATCTCCACCCCGCCCCCGCCCCACCCTGAGAGCTCCCTTTTAAGGGCACACTTTCCTGGTGGATATCAGCCTGTTTTCTGGTGATCTTTTCTCCCTGAGCAGGAAGGGCAGGGAACGCCACGGGGACCTGGGTCTTGGTCATTTGAGGTTTCAGTATTTGCTGAGACGGGAGGAGAGGGGCCGCTGGCTTGAGGTCTCAGGCCTGTCCCTGTGGGCGGGGCCTCTTCCCTGGGGGCTGGCCCTCTCTGTGGCCAAGACCAGACCACAACCACTGGTAAGGACAGCAGCTTCCGTTCAGAGCTCTGACTCTGCCAGGTGCTGTGCTAAGCATTTTGCTTGCATTGTCTCCTGCTCTGATCGCCACCGTCGGCGGGGGCAGGGTGGGCCTTATTCTCCCCAGGTGTGGGGCTTGCCCCAGGTCCCCAGCTGGTGAGGGATAGTCCCCCACTAGGCCACACTACCTCCCTCTGGCTGAGCCCCTCGGTGGGATGTGTTTGGGGGGAAAAATGAAAACTCATCTCAGATTTAGATTCCCGTCTGGGAGCTGATGAGGTGAGAGAGAACACATGGACCACACAGGGACACGGACCCAGACACGCATGCACACACACGCACACTCACCGCCCCCCAGCCCTCCCCAGCAGGCCTTCTGGCGTGGATTCACTGACAGCCACCCCGGCCTAGTCCAAACAGGAAATGCTGTTCTCCCATAGCAAACAAACCTGGGTCACAGCCTCCTTTCCCTGTCACCTCCCACTGGGCTCACACTAAGTGTCTCTTTCCTGTGCCTGTGTCCAGTGTGTCTCCCACAGGACAGCCTCCCCAGCTCGAGGTGCCCACATCAGTCCTGTTCCCTTACCAGCTTGTGTGAGCTCAGGCCCTCCACCTGATCTGTCCCTGTCCCGTGCCCATTCTATACTTGAGGAAGCAGCCGAGGGGGGCCAAGCATTGCCCAGAGCTCACGGTGGCAGCTCCCAGCGACCCAGAGCCTGTGGCAGCAGCCCCGGATGTCATGAAAGGGAAGGGGCCATGTAAACGCCAGTGGCCTTCAAAGCCTTTGCCCAGACAAAGGGCTGGGCCGGAGGGCGGGGCCTTCCCCACGCTTCCAGGTTGGGGAACAATGCCCGCTTTCTGTGCCTTTGATCTGGAGGCCTGGCCCTGCTGCCCCTCAGTCCCAGAGCAGGGGCACCCTGTTGGGCAAGAGCGGGGGTCCCGGGGGACCCAGAGGGCCTGCAGCTGCCCAGCCAAGTTATTTATGCTTCTTGGAGCTGTGCTTCTCACCCAGCTCACTCCTTTGTCACGGAGCTGGGACTGGGGCTGGAAGGGAGTGATGGGAGGAAAGAAGCTGCCGGAAAATCATAAATTAGGGCTCTTAGAGGGCTTTCCTGCCCCCCTCAGGAATCCTCAGGAGGAGAGACCTTGCACCTTCAGGCGGAGGAGGCAACAGAATGACAGGGCAGGGCTTGAGCAAGGGTGGCAGGGCAAGGTGTCTGCATTTGGGGTTAGGAGACCTGGGTGTTCAGTGGGATCTAGAGTGAGTCCCATCTCTCCCGGCCTTCGTCCCCCCATCTGGAAAATTTGGTGATACAAGACTTGGGGACTTTCCTATGACTGCGAAGGAATGGACAAATGAGAGGTCTTCTCCTTAAGGTTAATCCCACTTCCCCTCCTCCGGTCCCTTCCCTCAAATCCCGTCGTTTCTGCCCCACTTGTCTTTGTTGGAATCCCTTCCTCTGCTTCTCTTTTCACACTTCTCCTTCTGCAAAATGGACTAGAACAGTCTCCTTAGACAGCATCTACCTAGCATCCTGACCCAGCAGGCACCCCCTGACACGAGCAGGGCTGGAGGCTGCTCCAAGGTCTCTGCTCTGAGCACCCCCTCTTGCCTGCCCGTCACACCTGCTAGACCCATCGAACCCACAGGGCACTTTGGGTACCACTTCAGATGCATCCAGCAGGGGGTGGGTACGTAGCTGGAGATAGAGGGAGGAGCTGTTGGCTCATTCATACTAGAGTGTGCATGACTGATATGGTAAATGTGGTTAAATGTTGGGAGGCAAGTAACAGGGATTGTTCTTGATTGAAACCCTAAATCACTGATAGTGAAACTTCTAGATTGGTAAGGGGTCTGCTTGGTGAGCAAGTGTCTAGGAACAAGATTTGCCAAGGAAGAGGACCTTCTGTGTGAGAAGGTGTCCACCTCGCAGCCCCAGTGGGGTGAAACCCATCCCCTGCTGGATGCATCTGAAGTGGTACCCAAAGTGCCCTGTGGGTTCGATGGGTCTAGCAGGTGTGAAGGGCAGGCAAGAGGGGGTGCTCAGAGCGGAGACCTTGGAGCAGCCTCCAGCCCTGCTCGTGCCAGGGGGTGCCTGCTGGGTCAGGAGCACATGGGCCCACCCCCACCTGACATCCCCAGTGTGAGTGGTTTCCTTCTCTGAAGAAGTGGTTCTGAGGGGGAAGAGGAGAATGAGAGTAGAAGATGGAGTCAGGGAGAGACCCAGAGATGCTCAGGAAGAGAAAGAGAGCCAG